CGATAGAGAAAATAACAGCTAAATAAGAGAAGCATGGAAATGACTTTCTAGTGAGAATATTTTCCCGCGGCGTCCGTTTCCAAGCCGTTTTGAAATGCCCGGGGGCGGCAGACATTTCACAGTGAAGGAGGGGTCAGCTGCGCAGCTCAAAGAACCTGCATGTCCTCCGCAGAGGACAGACAGCTCCGTGTAACAGATCCCTGTGTAAGAACCTCCAGACTTGTGTATCTCTGAGTCTGCCATACATCCTGAGTTGGAGCAGCTTCTACTTTTAGTTCTGCTATTCAGACAGGCCTTCAGTTCTTGGTTGGTGGCTCTGTGCAGCTTAACCCACCCAGGTGCACACAACCCACCCACTGGACAAAAAGGCACAAAGTCACCCCTCCCCCTCTCCGCAGCCGATTCCAGCTCTGACAATGATGCTGGAGTGCTGTTTCTCATCCTGCCTGCCCCCCCCCTGACATTTTCCCTCAGCCAGAACCCGAGACCCCAGGCTACAGGCTGATGGAGTGCGGGTGTGGTTTAAGCGGGCCGGCCGGGCCTGGTGGGCAGCCTAATAAGGGCGGCTGGCGGTACGCGAGCCAAGCGTTAGCGCGCCTGTTTCAGAGAGCTTCTCATTAGCGCGGCCTTCGCACGTCTGAATATAAAGTAGCCACAGGCAGCGCTGTGGACAGAATACCGTTAGCGAGACCCTCTTCACTTAGCAACAAATGCTTTACAAAAGGCTAAAAGTAAAATAATGAAAAAGCAACGTTAACCTCCGAGCCGTGACATCTTGAGAAGCGTATTTGAAGGTCTGCTTGGCAGATGTAGTCTGATTTGCGTTCTGGGTCCTTTCATGCCGTTATAAATGTTTGACTCTTAATGACATCGGATAAACGCCATTTCTGTCTTTTTTTTTTTTTTGTCAGGCAGCGGTTGGAGTCGGAGCTGGGGGCTGGATTCAATGGGGGGTGCTAAATCAGATTTGTCTGCATATTGTTCTGTGGCCACAGGTGGCAGCATGGTGGCAGAAGAAATTGATGAGGTTTCCTCCAGGACAGCGTACATTAATCAAAAATGTAGCCGTTTCAAGGGGAAAAACCATTCAGGGACATGCTAGCAGTTATCTCTAATCAAATTATAGGAAAGTCTGGGTAAAATAAGCTCACTGGATATTGTAGCGTGATGAAGATGGGAGGAAGTTATTAAAATATAACGGAGAAATGAAATTTCTGCAAGCTGCACCGATGCAAGGTGAATATCCTAATTGGCCTGACTGGTCTCATCTGATGGGGCAGTAGCTTGATTGGTCTTCCAGGGAAAGTAATGCATGGTTCTTGCTCTGATAAAATATCCAGCTATTTAAAAAGTGAAAATTTAACTGTGGTGTAATACCTTAAGGACACAGAATTATAGCCTGCAGTTTGCCGGCTGAAGTCCCCAAAGGACCCATCAGCAGCAGCCTGAATTGCTCTGGTAAAACAGCCACTGAGGCTGCAGAAATCTCTCATTTTTATCCATAGATTTAGAGGCTTGGAAGGCTTTCGAATGCATTGCCTATGCGTAAAGAGTTGTGATGTGCATAACTGCAGAGCCTGCCCAATCGGTCGTTAACCTGCTGGCGTAGACTCAGAAAGCGTATAAAGCCGGATTATACCTGACCTGGCATCTTTGGGTGCATGTAGCTTGGCTGCACACTGATACAGTGTCAATTTGCACACTGATACAGTGTCAATCTACATCAAATGATGGCTTCCTCACCCTGACTTCCCATGAGTCGCAGCAGTGGAAGGGCTCACTGTACAGTATCTTGTCCCTGTTTTCTATCAGGGCCATTCAATGATTCTGGCTATATATAAAAGGCTTGTTTAGATGACTTTACAGCATGTGCCTCGGTGGGTTAAAATGCTGCGCCTGTTAATGGAAGGTTGCTGGTTCAAATCCTGTCTTCAGCAGAATAGTCACAGGCTTATTGGGCCCTTGAGTGAGGCCCTTAACCCCCAAAAATGCTCCAGGGGCACCAGATCATGGGCGTCACCATCGTTAAATCTAAGGGGGACGTGTCCCCCTCACATTTCATAATTATTTGTTTGGACCCCAACACATTTAACATAAAATATTAGTTTTATGCCAGTGTGTCCCTCCCACATTCAAAATGCTTCTGATGTCCCTGCACCAGATTAATGTGCTCAGTCCCCGAGCTTCAGCCTCACCTGTATGTGTTGCTCTCTAAGGAGAGTATGATGGCATTTGCAAAAAGAAACACTCTACTGTGCCTGTGCTCATAGTTGTGCAAATGTCAAATAAGGCATCGATTCATTTAGAGGACTGTAGCCGGATAATCTTATTGCCAATGCTTGAATTTGGTCCCTTAATTTCAAGTTCAATACTTAAACCTCATTTCTGCAGTGAAAAGCATGACTTTTTTTTGGTAATTTGTCTTCCATTGTGGTTTTGAGTGGTCTATGAATGTGTATTCACTACAGTACTTTGCAGAAATATTTTTAGAAATGAATACAATCCTGCTCATATATTTTTCAGTTTCATTGTAGAGCTGTGTGCTTTGCTTTAACGCAAGGCTTCAGGTGACGCGACCTGCACCCCAGTTGATTTCTCGGGTAAATTTATGTGTTCTTTCAAGTTGAAAATGCTAGAGGTCAAAATCTAGTTGGGCTTACTAGACTTGACATTGTGTTTTAACTCATTAATAATCCCGTGTGCCCTACATTGTAATGTGTACAGTAAAATTTATAGAGTAGGTGGCGGTGGATTTTGACTATACATGGTCTTGGAATGTTCCATTTGTGTTCTTTGATTAAAGAGAGGCTGAGTGCTGTTGTAATCAATGGCCTTCTACCCAAAGTGTTTTACATGCTATGATCAGTGTTACGATTCTAAGTTTATGGCTGCAGACGTTAGGTTACATGCAGGAAGGAAACCCTGTATACATTTCTGTCTTTCTGCTCACCAGTCAGCTTTTTAACTGAAATATGGTTTATGTGAAATAGGAGGGTGGTGCTCACAGGGCACTAATAGCTGACAAGTGGGAGTAGCTGGTGTACTGCTTTGGTCCCTCGAGCTCGCATACAAAGCGTGCTTAGCTTTGACACTTTAATTAAATGGGAAATCACAGACGGGCTCCAGATTTGCTTTGGAGGTAAAAGCAGAACTTATCCAAAGATCCTTTTATATATGATTGAATGATGTATGTATGGAGTTTGTGGGATTTCCCTCTTCTGTGAGGGTTTACTCAGGATATTACCCTTAAGAAACATGCATTCTATGAAAATCCTGTGTCCCTTTGTGCTCGAGTGAGTATATGATTGTGCATGTGCCCTTCAATGGACTGGCGTCCCATCCAGGGTGTCACAAAACGAGGGACGAGGGATTCAGGAGCAGGCATGGTGGTGAAATAAAAGGGGGTTTATTAAACTGAAGAACAAAAACTAGAAACAAACAGGATCAGAGGGGATCACTACAGGAGGACGGGAGTATGGGAAGGCACAGGCAACACGAGGGTTTGATGTGAACGCCTGGACTTGGGAACACAGGACTGGGAAGCACTTAAATACCTGACTGACGGAGAGGCAACAAAAGACAGCTGGGAGTGATTAGCAAAAGGATTAGGAACAGGAGGTAAGACGGGCACTGCTGGTTAAGGCCGTGTCCCCTCCCTTGAGCCCTGTGCTTCCTGAGGTAGGATCCGGGCTTATCCTGGATAAATGGTTATGGATGGATGGAAATAACAGATTTGGTGAATATGTACTGTAACACTAAATGCCCAACAGGCACTGGCATACATACTGATTTCAAAGGAAGTATGTGGAGAATATTGTGTCAGAATAATGAACAAAAACGTCACATGTTTTCTGGGTGGATACTTCTGTAACAGATTGTTTTTGTGGTTTTTAACATGTCTTTCATCATACTTGCATATTTTTTACATGGAGATAAATCAGCTGATGTCAGTTTGGGTGGGAACTGGTGCAGAGCGGCTGCTCACCCCAAATTCATCAGTTTGCCCTCAACACAAACCCACCACATCTGGTGAATGTGACGGGCTGCTCTATTCTAAAGAGCATCCCGATTGGTGGGATTTTGAAAGACTTTGTGACCATGATATTGGCTAGGAAATTGGGGGGGGGGTGTTCTGAAGTGGTCCCAGAACAGCAAACCTGTTGGATTAAGACTTGTTTGCCTTTATCTTTCCGCTCACCTGTTGCCCGTTGCTAAGCTACAGTAATTCCCTGAAATGACTTCCTTCACTGCTGGAGAAGCAGCAGGACTTGTACCTAGAGTGGCGCCCCCTGCCGGGGCATGAACCTTGGGGCTGTCTGTATTACCTGCTATGCCGCCCGAAACTGACAAAGGTGCTGCTTTTAGAAACACTATTTATCTGTCTCATGCATGCGGGTCAAATTTCCCTTGGACTTGGAGTGTCGTCATGTGCACCTGCATATGAAGTTCCCGTAGCTGCTGAGGAGAAAGGCAAAGCTTTTCCCTGGTAACTAGTTTATGAAGGTTCAGGGGACATTGCAGGCTTTTGCAGGACATGCATTTGTGAGTATTTCTTGGAGGGTGGGTCAGGGTATGCTAGGTTGGTGGAAGAGCTGTGTGTGTGTTTGTGTGTTTTGAAAAGGCAGCAAACCCTGTACTGTCTAGGAACTTAATGGGTGTTTGCAAAGACCATAGGAAATCACGCTGTCGCATTCAGCAGGATGGACAGTTAGACCTGGCAACTTGGACTTTCTGCAGCGGTAGTGGTTGCTCTCGAAATCAGCCCTGTCAGCATCTGGAAGGAGGTTCTGGATAGACGAGGTTTGCCAGTGAGCAACCAAGATGTTGGGGCTGAAACCTCTTCATTATATTGATGTAAGCACTGGTGCCCTTGAAAAGAAGTTTCTAGTAACTTTTCCATGCTATTCATTTTACACAGTACAAATAATACTGATGCAAGTATGGGGGGAGATGTACTGAAAGACTCATAATGGACTCATCATGCCTCACATTCTGCGCAGGGGGAAATGAGCTGAAGGGGCACCTTTTTAGCCTGAACTGGTGCTGGATCTCCCTGGAGAAGGAGTACTATGTGGTGGACGAGGAGGCCAAGTTCCTGGAGGTGGAGCTGAAGCGCAGGGGCTTCCTCGGGGAGACGTCTTTTGTGAGTAAGTACTATACCTCCATGACTTCTCCCAGTCCAGCATCCAGAGTTAATCAGCCATGTGGCAGCCATGCAAAATGAATCTAAAACTCTTCAGCAAGCTATTCTTCATTACAGTGTTATACAGTCATTCCTTACCTTTGCGAGGGTTACGACAGAGGATCCCTGTGAATGTGAAAATTTATAAATAATACTTGGGCCCCCCCAACCTCAACCCATAACAGTCTGCTAGCCTGAATGATAACATAATGTCTTTATTACCAATTTCTAAACAGATCATACTGTACTGTAGACTTTCCATCTCCATTTGCCCTTGTCATTTCCTATTTGCACCTTTTAAAATAATATTAAACAAACCATCTAAATTATGCCCCTGTATGTACAAAGATACTACTGTGCACACTGGGAGCATTACGTTTTGGACCGGTTATTAAAAATGCAAAATTAAAAGTAAAAAAGTTAGTGCAAGAAACATGACATTCCACAGTCACAAAGATAGCTATCACAAAGTCAAGTGAGGCTAGTTGCCAAGACAAAGTTGCACGGTGTACCCAAGTCAAGATTTATTATATATATAAAATGTAAGAGAATCATCTGTAGCGTCTGCAGGCAGAGGGTTCGTATCTACAGTATAGGAGTCTTTCTCTGGATTCTTTCATACTTCACACATTCCCACCTATGGTTTACTTTGCATTTTAATTTAAATTGAACACAACTTCCAACAGAGTGGTAAAAAAACGATTTCAATGTTTCATAGCATGTGCTGCGTTCATTATTAAAACACAATGCATCATCATGTCACCCTGACTTGCTACTGGGAATTGGCTCGTGAGCCATTTTATTTATGTCCTGCGGACAAAGAATGACCTTTTGGCCCAGGGCCTCCGGGGTTGAAGATAAATTAGAGAGTCTTCTGGAGAAGGCTTATGGCTGTTTAGCTCACTTGGCATCAGACTGGAACACACAATGGGTCCTCGGTCTGTGTCACTGTCATTCCCAGTTCCCGGAGGTCATCTTCACAGTCAGACAGTTTCATGGTCCCACAATGAACGGAGTATGGGCTCCTCGGCAGAAGGTCAGCACCATAAGAGATGCCAGTACTCTTCAGCATTTGTCAATTCACTTTAAATCCATTTTTATATAGTGTACTTTCCTCCAAACAGGGTCAGGCGACTGTGCTTAACCAGAATAGCACAGCAAATTGATATAACCGTTCAGCACAGTACAGTAATACATTTTGAGTTGTAAACAAAATTGAACAATGTGGAACAGGAAAGAGAAATACCCCAGGAAGTAGTGGGAGTCAAAGGAGTCGTGACGAGTCACAGCAACAATGTGATGAGTCACAGCAACAAAATGAACAGAACTGAATTTAATGAGATGTTCCATCACCTCCCTTGTTGAAAGAGTTAAGTATCGATCACTAGGCAGTGTCTTCTGTCACGGAATCCGTGATGAGACTCAGCCTTGCTGCTGTACATTTTGTACTTTGCCATTCGTAGTTCTAGACTGAACCTGTGTGCCACCTTTGTAGGGGATGCTTAGAAGTGCAAGTCTGCAGGAATTAAAATGTATGAAGTCCCTTGTCTTTTGGGGGCAATCCGTCTTTCCTGCAGGCGTTTTGGCCAGTCCTCTGCCTGATAGTCGCACTTCTGAGTTTGATACGGGCATGCCGCGAAAATCCTGCGTTTTATTTCTGTGAATCTCAGCAGTTACGGCGACGCATCTAAAATTTTAAAGGTCTTTTGAGAACTTTACTGTTTTCTGTCGGGTCCCTGACCTTTAGTTTATTGGTTGAGAAATATGAAAGTGAGTACTAGCAGGAAGATTAATTCAGCAATATAAAAATGCTCCTCCAGATTTATACCATAGCTAAGATGGAAAATTGATCCTGCAGAAGAGGAGGAACCCCCCTCCCCCCCCAACTCCGGCCCTCCTCCTATTTTACACAACTTCATCTCCCCTCAGTAGCAAGATGGAGCAATAATATGAGATGAAGCTGCAAATCATGGAGCAGCTTTAACATCCCCCTCCCTGTTTGACCCCCACTCTGAAAAACTTCTGAAGCCAGTTTGTTGGAGAACGCCAAGCCCCAGGGTTTCTTGGTTCCCTCTCGCTGGGCCGCAGAAATCCGATTGGTGATTGGGGTGCGGGATCACTGCCGAAGAAAGTTTGAAAACGATTGGCCATCTTTTCACCAAAGGCTGTCCGTTTGAAGATTGTTGCGGTTTTTGTATCGCTGAGGCAACCGTGTTTGTGGGTTTCTCAGCTCAAGCTCGCGGCTCTGAGGACGAGCTTGGCACCGCGGAAATGTTAGTTATCTTCGAGAAGCCGGTCTTTGCGCTCGTCTGTCTTGGGCGCTGAGCCGAACCTTGAAATTCTTGTCGCGCCGACAGACAAAAAAAATTCAACCGGCGTGTGAGACACGAGAAGAGCTCTGTCTTCCGTCGGGTGACCTCGATGATAACCCCTGGGGGAGGGGGGGCGATCATGTGGGTATGTTTTATTAATTGGGGGCTTCCCGCTGAGCTTCGAGCTGTTATCAAACGGGGCGAGTGGCATCCATGCACCAAATGGCAGCTGCTGATGCCTCTCTGACAGAAGAGTCCCAGCCAGCGACCGCGATCAAACACACCGGCCGTGAGCGGCAAGCTGGGCACGACGCCCTCTCGGGAACGTCATCAAGGGCACAGTGCCGCCATGACTGGCACCCAATTAGCGGGCCTTGTGACTGACATCCACGGGCGGGAGACTTGCTCACACGTGACGGGCTTATAAAAGCGCGATCGAAATACTCGCTGTCTGACTACTGCGTCGATGAAAACATGTTTCAGTCTGTTTTGGCCTTGTGGAGGGATGATGTCTGTGCTTTTTACAGTAACTCTTCCTGTCTGTACCAAAAGGCATCGGCACCAGAGATGGCACAGCCAAGAAAGACGAAGACTTCAGAGGGAAGTCACAGAAACAGGTCCAGTTCAACCCAGGCCAGACCACAGCCTCCTGGAGGGTCCGCATCCTGTCCGACAGTGTGTTCGAGCAGTCGGAGACCTTCCAGATTGTTCTCTCTGAGCCCGTCATGGGGGCTCTGGAATTCCCACAGGTGGCCATTGTGGAAATCCTGGACCCAGCTGATGGTTAGTTGGCTGCTCACATCCTTTTTATCCCGCTCAGCCCCAGTAAATTCCCAGAGGCGCTCATTCCTCGTTTGCTTTGTCGCAAAACCAGACTGCTGGGATACCCATGCAGCACTGCAGTGGCAAATCTGCTCTTGATCATCGCTTGAAATCAAAGTCACACAGATATCTTGGGGTTCCGCTGAGGTGAATTCTGTCACTTAGCATTTTTAGCAATAAGTTTACAATAACTTTTTAAATAATTCACAGAGTCCTTGCAGATAACACAGAAAGAAAGAAATGAATCTGCTGTGGCGGGGGGGCACACAAGAGTGTGCAGGTACAACCAGTTTGACTACGCCACCCTGGGAACTCCCACCTGGGGAAATACCCACCATTAACATAACCCAATAGGTCACACAGGTTCATCCACCAAGAAAGGCAGAGTCGTGTTTCTGTGAACCAAATATAGTTTATTAATACAGAGTGATACTATAAAGCAGGGTTTCCAAAACAGAAAATGCGGATTGGAAAACAAACTAATGGGAACAGAACTGGAATTGAATTCAAATTCCAGGGAGATTTAAATTCCAACTCCATTTCTAGTTCCAAATCCCTACAATTAAAACATAAACGTTATTCACACGACAGCAAAGAAAAAAACACTCAAGCAGCAACTCAGATCAAATGAACGGCAGGAAGGGAAACCCCCAGCAGCCGTAACTAGGTGGAGTGTGTGACCACCTATCCAGGAGCAGCCAGGGACAGACAGCAATTTTACAGACTCCCCCCCTGCTCACGATGCTGCATCCCAGACGCCAAACAGAAACAGCCCATCAGACAAGCAGCCAGTGGGACAGTCACCCCAGCATCAAGCACACGCTCAAACGGCGCCAAAGTGCGCCAATCTGCGCCAAAGTGTGCCAATGTGCCCTCTCTATAACAAAGGCACTAATTAAGGGCACGCTAAACAGGCGAGGCTAAGACATTTCAACCTTTGCAGGTAATTCACCCTGCCGCAGTTATTTTACCATCGAGGACAGATGGAAATGGAGTGCAACATGGTTAAATTTTGAATCATTAGCAGAAATTCATACAGTCGAAGGTCACATTTTATAGAAGTAATTTCACGGTGAAACAGTGATGCTGTTAGTTTGACTTTATAATTAAATGGGTGTATAGACCGTAAGGTCTGTTGTGAAGGACTCTGTTAGACTGGCAATATATATTTTTCAGAGAGCAGGGGCCACCAGCCATTGTGGGGCCTCATTCTAGGGCTCAATGGATAGATCACTGTGCCAACTGTAGGGTTTGAACTGGTGACCTTCTGATCACAGGCATAGCTTCCTCACCCACTGAGCCACACACCAGCACTCAACATGCCAAACTGTACGCATTATATAAATGTGGACCAGCATGTATCCTTAATGTTGGCTGAAAACAGAAGTATTTTGCAGACAGTGTTTATTCAGCTAATGAGGCTGTGATCAGTGAGTGCGACTCAGTGTTTCGGGGCTGATCTTCTGCTCCAGTCCTGCAGGCTGCAGCTGGTCTTAATGGTGTCCTGGGGGGTTTGTTGCTGGGTTCTGTGGGCATGAGACATAACCACAGCTGCTCTGCTCCAGTGACTTGGCCCCCATCGAGGGCGGAGCTCTCATATTATCATATTAGTGGTATTAAAACTCTTAAGACTGCAAATACAAATTTACCTTTATGCCCATGTAGAAAAAAATGCTTAAATGATCCGAACTGTTTTTAATTTTTTTGTGGGGGGGATATAGTGCGTGTTAAATAACAATGCACAGCAGCTTTGCACCCCCGGGTGATTATCAAACACACACAAAAACTTCTCCTGTTTAATTAATTTCTCTAAAGCCGTTCGCCGTCTCAGATCCTCGTAGATTACAGAGCATCTCTCCGCTCCTCACCACAAGTAACAGGTCCCAGAAGAGCAGTGGCTGTTGTTGTCGGCTGCATGTGACAGACCTCGCGCCACATAATGGCCTCGTGTTTATATAAGTGCTGCAAAGACTGGGAGTTGGATTAGAGATGAATCATAAGTGTGTGAGGACTAAGGAGTGAGAGGACAAACTTTATTTTTCATTAGTCCCACTGCGATTTCCAATTTAAATTTGCCTTAAGCTCCTACAAACTTATTTTGCAACTTTAAGTTATATAAAAACTGTAAAGCATCCATAAATTCTTTTCAAATAAGTATATTTGCTCAGCAACTACATTTATTGAAGGTACATTGGCAGGTGAGAGATAATAAAGCCTGATATTCTTAAAGAGGGCCAGTATCTTGTCTACAGATACATCAGTCCTTCATGCTGTTTCAATAGCCTGCATTCGCTTCACAAGAACATGCACATCTCCATCCTTCATGATGCCTACTGCCCTTCTGTCATCTTCCCCGTTTGTAGAGTCAACAGTCTTCATCCCCTCGTCCGCATACAGTGTGGAGGAGGACATCGGCGAGCTCCTGATCCCCGTTCACAGGAGCGGGGACGTCAGCCAGGAGCTCATGGTCTTCTGCTACACCCAGCAAGGTAGGACTGGGACTTCCTGGAAACTGACAGGCTCTCAGCTTGAGTCCTGCCCATATAGCCTGGGACCTGTGCTTTGTGGGACTGCCACCTGCTTCCACCCAGTGGGAAGAGAGTGAACCCAGCTGACCTGGCAGTACTCCATAATCCCGTCTGCTTTGATTTGCAAGCATCATTCCTTTCATCTCGATGGGCTGCTCATGTCTACGGTTAATGTGTAGGATCCCGACTCAGTGGTTTGTCTGCTGCCTCCAAAGCTGGGGGTTTGAATCCCGTTTCTTTGCCAAAGAAGCAGTCCAGAGTCCATGATTCGCTAATTTCCCTTGAGTGTCTTGAGTTTCTCCCTGTTGATGTTTTCTGCCTGGTTGTCCGCAGTCACTGCCACGGGCACTGCCCCCACCTCAGTGCTGTCCTACTCGGACTACATCTCCCGACCAGAGGGCCCCGGGAGCGCACTGCGTTTCAACGGGGGTGAGGCAGAAAAGCCCTGCCGGGTGGTCATCATCGATGACTCGCTCTATGAGGAGGAGGAGAGCTTTAACGTCACGCTCAGTGTCCCCTTGGGCGGCCGTCTGGGTCACTTCCCCACAGCAAAGGTCACCATCCTGTCTGACCTGGATGACGGTAAGTGCTGTGAGCACATTGCTCCAGTCTATAGTCCATAAATCTGCAAGGATCCAATGCTTCTACTATTTGACTGCTAACACAGTGCACCCACATTAGGGGACTCTTTTGTTTTATGATGGGGGTGGGCGTGGCTCTATGGGTAGGGCTGCAGTCTCACGTGTCATGGTTTTGGGGCTCAGACTCTTCTTCCAGCTCCCTGTGGTTGTGTGGCTTTTCTCTGGCTGCTCTAGTTAAAGTCCTGTCTATAGACCTATGATAGACTGGCATCCCATCCAGGGCATCTGCTGCCTCGTGCCCTGTGATAGACTGGCATCCCATCAAGGGCATCCCCTACTCCCCTGACATCTCTTTTGAGTGGTACTTTTTTGGTGTGAAGAAACCTATTTTGAATAATTTATCCTCTATCTTTGTTTTTTTCAAGGAAGTTAAGTTTTCTTGTATAAATTCTGTTCCGTGTACAGCAGAATTTAAAGGGAATGAGAGTTTGGCACTGATTAGACGCTTTGCTTTGCTAAGTGAAAATGACTTTCTTCTCATGTCACTTTCTTTTAAATAAATTCTCAGTGGGGAGAAAATGCACATCTGCCAGTTCTACCCCCTCACAGTGGTCTGCATTTGTATTTAAAATGAGAACTGAATCACAGTATTGCAGGATACTAGATGTTTTAGTTTGCCGGTGAAACTCAATGTCGTTGATTGAAATGTGCAGGAAGTCGACCAAGTACACAGTGATCAAAGCAGCCAACTCCTCATGCCTGTAGTTATTTCCTTTAGGTGATGAATTCTTTCTTGTTATGTTGACTTTTTAAAGCAAATGATGAGCATTTCTTTTCTCCAGCAGTTCTTACCGCCTGTCTGTGTTGGCGCTTTGATGCCTCTGTCCATCGTCGTCTTCTTACCGTTCTGTATGATCTCCTGCTTTTTACTGCTGGCTCACATGAGCATACATTTTAAACAGGTTTTTAAACACCAGCATATCGAGTTATCACTGTCCCCTGGTAAGCTGTGAACGAATGTCTCCGTAGGGTGTTTGTGGACTTATGTGCTTCAGTATGCAATTCTGGAAAATCAAGTAAAAAAAAAAAAAAAAACAGATTATTCCTCTCAATCTGATGCAGCCGAGTTTTCGTGTCTTAACCTTCGACCTCTGGAGGTCTCCCATTGGACAGCGGCTCTCCTTGAAGTCAAAACCATGAAGCCAAACACTTCACTTTCCTAACAAAGCATGGAAGCTGCTTCAAGGAGCTCTTCCTCCTAATCCTGTTCCACATGTCACAGATTCATCCCAAATAGCATAATAAGGGTTTAAACTCAACTGAGAAGGATTTAGCCATGGAGTAAAAAAGGTATCCTTAACACTCTATTTTCATGGTTCTTATGGGTTTGGAACACACAACAGTTACAACTGACTTTAAATTTGTGGCCAACAAAGTCATACATTTTTCATGACTCTAATTAAAAAACTTCGCTAGGAGCCTTTTACACTCTGCGCACGTCCCTCTCAGCACTTCAGGATACTGCAAACATCATGGTAACAGGGCTTTTTTTAACAGGCAGCAAGCAAAGTTGATTCTATTCAAATTAGAACTGAGTGCATCCTGGGAGGGGTCGAACCTAAGGTCATGAGATCAGTGCCACCACAATAGGACACTGGGGGGGCACCATTCTTGCCTCCCAACAGGGGGGTAGCTCAGGCAACTGGTAGGCTGTGTATTTTTTCCCCATTCGCTGTTTGCTTGCTTGATTCTCCTAAGTTTTAAATGAAAGCCTTTGTGACTCTTTGCCCCCATCCTAATATATTAAAAGTACATCCACATTCCTGAGCCGGGTCAGCAGTATTTGGGGACATATTTAAAGTCACAGAGACGTCACACCAATGCTCCCAGGTTACAGGAATTCCCATTTTTGTATGTTTTGTACGTTTTCCACGTTTGTAAGATGTTTCGCCTGCACACTCGGATGCCATAACTATTGAGAAGATTCTTCTGCAAGTGGATGGTTCAGGGTCGAGAGGCTGAGGTCTTACAGACATAAGTGGGTGTCTAATCCACCAGTAATAGATTTCCAGCTATTAAAAGTTCCACCTACTCTAAGTAACATCAGGTTTTATGTGTTAAAGAGTCTCTTAAAAGGAAAAGTGAAGTTTCGTTCAAGCCTTAAAGTGTTCAGATGGGCCTCACCGCCAAGAGCCACTCAGACAATATCTTTCAGACCCTTGGGATCTCGCATCAGCGGCACACATCACTCCTCTACCATCCCATCCCCTCATCTTCAGACCATTATAGTTTTTTTGGTGCCCCGACCACAGGTGTGACATAATGGTGACCGTCGCTATGCATAGAGTGCACACTGTCGGAATGTCTGCTTGTATTCTGGAAGCGGCAAAGGGTGAAATTTAAGTATCCCTTCAAAGGGTACAAATGCGAAAGGATTATCCGACCATCTTAGTTGATCAGTTGTCCTGAATTCGAAGGCTCACTTTCCAAAGCAGGAAGCTGAACAGCCTCCAGCGCCCATTGTGAGACAGTGACAGTCCCCCAGACAAAAGTGAAGGCGGAAAACAATCACCTTTTGTTAAAAAAAGACAGAATTTCTTGTCATATGACGAGCCCCCCACCATCGTATGCTAAATTCAGAAATTTAACATCGGCCTGGGGCTGCATTGAGAAAGAGCTGCTGACAGCCTGAGCTGCGGAGGCGCTGTAACCTGATCAATCGTCTCTGGGACGTAACCCTATCTCCATGTGGTGCTGTGTGCTCCAGGTGCATTCAGGCACAGATTCTTGGGTGCTAGCACACTCTGTACACATTTATGACGAGATATTCTGCAGTGCCTGTGGTGGGTGGCTGAGGGGGGGTTGCGGGGAGGTAAGTGACACTGCATTTATTTAGAGGGGATGTCATAGGGATGCTGTGGATTTTTTTACCGGAACAGAAAGCGATTATGGTTTCCCTGTAAGTATGATGGTTGTGCCTCATCACTGACAGCTGCAGTGGGTGGGGGAAAAATGGATATACTCCCTTGTGGGGGCATAGGCTGAGGAAGATACCCCCATTCCCTGTGGGATGGGTTCACGGGAGAGACACACACACATGTCTGGAGACCTCCAAATTCTCACAGAACAGGAAAATTGCCATCTGTTTGTTTTTGATTGACCAAATAATAAAGCATATCATTTTCATATTTTTACTGCTGTATACTTACAATAGCAAGGCAAAAAGCACAGAGAAAGGACCCATTCTGTCTGCCACATGGGCACTAATGAGTCCCACTGTCCCAGACTGCAGAGGGGTGATTGGTTCATTACGCCATAAGTTCTTAACAACAGACAGACACTGGTAACTCATGTTGTGTAACAGAATAACGGAATGTAAACAGTTACCATGGTTTCCCCAGTAATGAGTGTCGCCACTAGCATGTGGCATCACAATGTGATCCAGGTCAAACTGGCCACAGAATTGCCCCCATTTGTGTGTGGTCATGTGACACGTACCATGAAATTCTCTCAAACTGCATTCAGAAGGGGGTGGAGGGGGGAAGGTGAGGCTTGCTGCTTGGAATCAGGGCAAAGTGAGAGAACGATCCTCTGGGACCTTTAGAAGGGGCCAACATCCTGTTAGCAGACGTAGACGGGCTTTGTGCTGTCGGGCAATGTGCCCGTTGGCTTTTGTGGTTAACGCTGTCAAGTGAGCCTACCTGCTTTTCCGCTGTAGTTGGCGTACGCAGACGATGCCGTCACTGCAGAAGCTTGGCAGGAGCCGATCCAGGCTCCCTGGAGTGCTTCTTCTTCCAAATGGGCCCTGGTCCTCCCCAGCAGCTTGCTGTGGTCTGGGGCTTCTCAGGAGCCAGCAGATCCCCTTTCAGCCAGTCGTCTTTTGAAGCCTGCAGTTGGTTATACAATTGGACCTTATCTTATTACAGTGATTGTCACATGACTAAGTGAGCGCGACGGCCTGGAACTCTCATCTGCTGCTGTGCGGGTACTGAGTCAGATTACCCCGGTGGCACAGAAGCTGCACTCCAGGCCCTGGGGTACTAATTGGCTGCGGTCTTACACCTAGGGCACTGACTGGTTCATTTCCAGGGCCTGGGTAATTTGATTGGTCAAATAGGAAAGACTTTAGGAGGAGCAGAGTCGTATCTCACACAGTTAAGCACAGATAAAAGAAAAAAGTAATAAAAGTGTAATCAAGGCGTAATGACTCTATTTCAAGGTTAATTTCCTACGCTATTTTCTTAGAGCTGTAGATCTGAGGCAGTTTTCATCTTTAAGAAAATCTTTTTTTTATAATAAACGAGGATCAGTCAGAGCATGCTGGGAAATGTATGTGCTACTGAATCTCATTTTCGCTTGTACATTTGAGACATCACCTCCCATAATTATTTATCTGAGCTGTGGCTTGATCCCCGCAGCATCTTAGATGAGAAACACGAATCCATTTTGAGAAGACATGAACTGAGAACACTGTAAACCTTTTTATTGCCTCTGTGGGCTATTAACTGCGTGCAAAAATGGATAGAAAAAAATTTTGAGGGTCACAGCTTAATAATACTTCAAATGTTGTTCTACGAATGAAATCACAGTGCAAATAGTCAGCGATAAGGAAACATAGTTGCTTGTCGTGGTAGTATGTGGAGAGCAGCATTAATTGATAGCCAGGCAGCAGGAGTTAAGCACAGTACTTCATTAAGGAAAAATTCCAAAACAAAATGGAAGAAAAGGTCTTTATGGAAAGCAAAACAAAAGCAGGAAAAACAAAAGCCGCATACAAAACACAGAGAAACTGCAGAAGAAAATTGGTGTCCTAAAACCCAAACTCTCTGGATGCATAGTAATCTCTGACAGATCTATCCAGCTGACCCCTGTACATCCTTAAGGAGGTGATTAGTCCAATCAGGGACAGCTGGGTTTATTAACCAAGACCTCTGGAGGATTGTGGGTAGCAGTCCTCAAAAAGACATGGCCGCTTCTGCTTACTCTGGTCCTGCGCTGCAGTTTTTGCCACATTCAAATACAATTTTCACGGGTATTGTATTGAAACACACACGAGTATTAACAATGATCAATGCCAAGAATGGCAGATCAATCTCCTTTTTTCCCAGTGCCCATGAGAAATCAGACAGATGCATTCTGGGAAGAAGATTAAAGAACAATTTGGCATATTTTCAAAAATGACTTTAAAAGGCACAAAATAGCTGTATATAGGGTGGAAAACCTGTTCATAAGCCCAAAAAATACATAATTACAACACAAATCGTATTGGCCGAGACAAAGGCACTTAATTGTCATTTTAGTCCCAAGTGTAATTATCACAACTTTAGTGTTATATAAAGAAAATAATTGTGAATCAAGTTTCCGTGTTCCCCTTCAAAGTATACTATCAGTCAAATGTTTTTTCAACAAACTGAGATTTTCTACATTTGCATGTTGCTCCCTTAACATTTAATAAAAATATATATAGTATTCTTTGCTAATATATAAATTTATAGTATGTTCACTATTTGAATACCTTTACTAGCAAGAAAATATCACACCTTTGATCACCAAAGTAACCTCCTCTGGTAGTTATAACAGCAGGGAAAATTCAAAGCATTCTTTCTACAAGTGACATTAAATACTGCTCTGTTTCATGGGAAGAAACCTGTGGTAAAAACTTTTGAATGGTAGTGTATATAGGATAAGATGGGATATATAGTAATTATAAAATAAGTATAATATCTCTTTGTTTTTATCCAGTTCCTGTCTTCTACTTTGGAGACATGGATTATCATGTGGACGAGAGTGACGGCTTTGTTGATGTCCGAGTGTGGAGGACGGGTACAGATCTTTCCAGAACAGCCTCCGTCACTGTGCGCTCCCGCAAGACCAAGCCGCTATCTGCCGTAGGTAGGAGGCCTCACCGGGTTCCAGCCTTCCACTGAGTATGCTGTATATTTATTTACAGTATCAGTCAAAAGTTCAGACACACCAAGCCACCTGCATAGGAGACTGATAGTATCGCATCACATGACCTGGTCACCTGATCTAAACACATTAGAAATGGATTTGGAGGAGTTTGACCAGAAAGGGAAGGAAAAGCAGCCAATGGGTGCTCAGCATACATGTGGGACCTCCTTCAGGACGGCTGGAGAAGCTTCCCAGGAGGCCACCTCATGAGACTGGCGTAGAGGAGACAGTAGGGTCAGCCAGTCCCTGGGGCCATTAGGCCTTGGGCCCAGTGGTGGGATCACTCTGCCTGCCACAGGATTTGAACTGGCAACCTTCTGAGTCCCAACCCACAGAGCTGCCCCCCCAACACATTACTAGTATTTTTTGTTTAATACTTTTTTGGTCGGTGCATGATTCTACATATGCTATTTTACAGTTTTGATTTCTTTATTCTAAAATGTAGAAAATTCTACGGGTAAACTTTTGACTGGTACTCCCATTCATGACTGATTCTTCTTATTACTGTTTAAACTAATTGAATTAGATGAAAAACGAAATTATTCAGGTATTTTGAAGGTATTTTGTCATCTCTGCCTTTAAGACATAAATTTTATGCTTTCTGTATAGGTCTGTAAACTTAAGGGTAAACCATGTAGGACCAAATAAAATTACAATAAAAAAGTAATATCCAATGTATAGTTGTGAGTCTATTTTACAACAAAAGGGAGAATTTATCAACACCTTTAAAATGAAGCAGGCTCTGAGTGATGCATTTACATGATTCTTTAACACGCTCTGTCACACCCATGACCTCAAGGGGAAGGACTCTGGTGAATCTGCACTCTGTGATCCTGCTCCATCCCACGATGCCTCCTCACATCACCAGCTATTATCCAGCCTCTATTTCTTGCTCTTTTTCACTCCCCTCTTAGGTATGATCAGATCTCTTAAACTTGGCTTCTGATCACTGCGCCTCATTACTTCATGAGAGGAACGGAGAAAGTAAAGGATCTGAATGCCAGACCAGGCCTTTGCCAGCCAAGGATCTGAAAAACATAACAGTACCTTCAAAATATATGGCAATAAGTATTTAATTAAGCCTGTTTTTCTCCAAAGGATGTTCCATAGTTGCAAAGGTCGTATCTAATGATGCTTAAGGTTTCTAATGAGGTTTCTTGGATGTTGATCAATACCTGACTTCTTCACCCTTGTATGCAAAAGAGGCTCAATTAGCAGAAGCTTTCAGCTCCAGAGTGTGCGATTCTCCAGCGTTTTTCATTTGGTCAGTCATTTGTTTTGTTCTGTTTGTTCTGCAGCTGGTGTAGACTATGTAGGGATCAGTCAGAACTTAGACTTTCCTCCCGGGGTGAACATGCAGACCGTCAGGGTCACCATCCTGGATGACCTGAGCCGACCCACCTTGGAGGGGCCGGAGAAGTTTGAGTTGGTTCTCCACATGCCCATGAATGGCATTCTGGGAGAGCCGGGGAAGGTGACCATCTTCATCAACGATTCCTTCTCGGACCGTAAGTTTATACACAACTGATATCACAGGCGTGTCGATTTATTGCATTCATTTTTCAGATCTTGGTTACAGATTAGGATTTCTTTCCCCTTGACAAGTCCCAAGGGTCCAGTTTCAGGAATCTGTGTACATCGCCAATGAGAACCAAGAACAGGTCTTGGCCCTGGTGTACCGCAGTGGTGACGTCAGTGGCCTGTCCACGGTGCGCTGCTACAGCCGCCAGGGATCCGCAGAGGTCACTACGGACTTCCAGGAGCGGCCAAACACTGATGCGTCCATCATCACCTTCCTGCCCGGTGAGGGAGAGCCCTCAAGTTGCCGAATGCTTGACTTTCGGGAAGGTTTACGTTAGCTTTTGGTGACTTTTCTCGTTTTGAGTGGCTGGCCTTGCTGGGATGTAAATGCAGCAATGGTGGGTTAGCATTACGAAGGGCGCTCGCTCTCTTCCTGGGTCCAGGGGAGGTGGAGAGGCCATGTGTGTTGGCCCTGGTCGATGACTCGCTCCACGAAGAGGACGAGGAACTGCGTTTAGTCCTGGGCAGCCCAAAGAGTGACTCGCCATTCGGCGCTTCCCTGGGCACCCAGAAGGAGGCGCTCATCAGGATAAAGGATGATGCAGACCGTAAGGCGGGGGCGGGGGTGGGGGGGGTCTGTGGAGGCACCGACAGCTTGCTGTCTGTTTTTTCCCCTCTCTGATATTCCCTCCAGTGCAGCACTGTAATGCACCTTCTGAATTAGATGCGAAATTTTATGCATATTTAGGCTAAGGCTTGTTTGCTTCAGTCACTGTTGATAAATGCTGCGCTACACCGTATAAATTAACTTTCAAATTAAAATACCAGGCAATTGAATTCCCGAACATCCATCCATGTCCTATATACAGCATGACGGTCAGCCTGTTCCAAGAAGCGCAGGCCTGGAAAGAATGCCAGTAAATCCTGAGCAATAAACTTGTTATTTTTTTTAACCAGAGCCTGTCATCAAGTTTGGGGAGACCAAGTTCAGTGTGATGGAGCCCAGAGAGCACGGTCAGGTGTCGGTGGTGCGCGTCCCAGTCCTGAGGGTCGGGGACACCTCCAAGGTGTCTCTGGTGCGTGTGCACACCAAGGATGGTTCAGCCACCTCGGGGGAGGACTACCACCCCGTGTCTGGGGGTGAGATGTGCTTCAGTTAAATGCTGAATGTGCTTCTGGTGCTTTTGGCAGCATTTGCAATGCTTGTGTTGTGGCTCCTTCAAATAATGGTCAACGGGATCTGTAGGTGGCGCGGTGGTTAAATGCAGTGGGTTTATATGCCATGAAGGAAATTTTGTTGTATTTGCATCCTTAACCTAAAACATGTTATAGAATGTGCAATGTCATTAAGTGGATTAATTTTTATACGAGTCTGAGTGTCACTGTACTGTGCATACAAATACTGTATTTGGCTGAAGTAGGAGAGCCTTATTTAGGGTGAGTAATGCCTTTGCTCCAACCAGACATTGAGTTCAAGGAGGGCGACACCCAGCACTTTGTGGAGGTGGAGATCCTGTTTGATGGCCTGAGGGAGATGAGAGAGACTTTCACTCTCCACCTGAAACCTGATGAGTACATGGTGGCTGAGACACAGGTGCAGATCACAACTTGCAGAGCACGATGTGCAGATCACAATGTGCAGATCACGCATAAAGAATACACAAGTAGACCACAACGCGCAGACCCCAGTGTGCCAACTACATATGTAGAAGACATGTTCAGACCACAACGTGTAGACTACGATGTGCAGACCATGATGTGCAGATCACACATACAGAATATATGTGCAGACCACAACTTGCAGACCACATGTGTAGACCACAATGTGCAGGCTACCCACGCAGACCACAATGTGGAGATGACATGCGAAGACCATGATTTGCAGACCACACATGAAGACCACGATTTGCAGACCACAACGTGCGGGTCACACATGCAGCCCATAATGTGCAGAACACCTGTGCAGACCACAACATGCAGATCATGATGTGCAGACGAGTGAGTGCTCATCTAGAGCCTGCTGCCCTGTGCTTCGTGGGATAGGGTTCAGCCTCTCCAGGGCCCTGTATTGGATAGGTAGCTGGGAGATGAATGGATAAAAGTTTACAAAAGGATATCTTCAGGAAGTGTCATTAATCATGTCCTCACCCTCCGTGTCTTATGACAGGCAGCCAAAGCAATCATCTACATCGAAGAGGCCACCAGCCTGGCCGATGTGACCTTCCCCTCTGTGCCCCAGGTGATCTCCCTGCTGCAGTACGACGACATGCGCAGGGGAGGACACAGCCCCCACCCCGCCGCTGGCTACCCATTGGTCTGTGTCACGGTATGATGCGCCCGCCCATCACTTTCTCACACGCCATTGGCTGTGGAGCCCAGTGAGTGGCTTGTGAACCCCGCCCACTTTCTTTTGTCTCTGTCATCACTAGTATTAACCCAGTGCTTCATTAATTTGCTTTTACTTTAAGTTAAGTTATTAAATTAAAAAAACTACTTATTTTCAGTGCAGTCTCCTTTTACATGCTTCTTCCGGAAAGTTGGATGATAACACTTTTAAAAGGATTCCTCTACAAATGCCATCATATGCATGTCATTAAATACAAAGAGCCATGTCTGTATGCTTGACCTAGGGCAGTTATCATAGAATTATAAAAAAATAATTACAATTTAACTGAAAAATAATGTAACGCTACACTTCATCTCTGCTGGAAATCACTGTTTAAAATATGTCATTGTATTTCTGTACAGTATGGACTTTACAGCCATTTTTTAATTATTGTTTTGTTCACTACTCTTTTCTTCCACTCTTACAGGCATGTAACACAAAGTGCTCAGACTACGACAAAACCGGGCCTATCTGTTCTGCCGAGCGCATCAACGACACGCTGACCCAGTACCGCTGGCTCGTCAGCGCCCCCGCGGGGCCAGACGGTGTGACGCTCCCCATGCGCGAGGTGGACTTCCACACATTCTTCACCTCCTCCAAGCTGATCACCCTGGACTCCATCTACTTCCAGGCGGGCTCGCGGGTGCAGTGCGTGGCTCGCGCCGTCAACGCCGACGGCCACGACGGCCTGGAGCTCAGCAGCCCCATCGTCACCATCAGCGTGGACGAGGGTGAGGGGCTCCCATCTTCATCCTCAGCCACTGGAGCAAAATGCAGTTACCCTGAAAGGCCTGCAGGTGGCGGTCATGAGCTGGATTTATAACCAGTCAGTCGCAGCTTCAAATACATGGATGAATAACTATGTTATTATTCCTTTATGCAATAAAATTACATTTTGTAAATTATATCCTGCTGTAAATGGGCACAATGAGAAACAAAGTAAGATATACAACAGGCTGAATTCTTCAAGGCAAGGTGCTGAAGTTCTTCATGGCTTTGGGCAATGACATTTCTACTCTTGTAACCTTCATTTCATGTGTATCTGAGCTGTCCATAAATAATTATATTCCCTTATCATATGAAATATGTATATATTTCAAAACAAGGAAATCCCAACAGGAATCACCTACAAATCTACTGTACTACTGAATGTTTTTGCAGGCTAGCATTGGGTTAATGCTGTGCTAACATTGTTACCTTCCCATACCTGCAGGCATGTGCCAACCCCGTAAGGTGGGCACAGTGGGCGCCGAGCCCTTCTCCGCCAAGCTGCGCTACACAGGCGTGGATGACCCCGACCACCCCAACCTCATCCGGCTGACAGTGACCATGCCCCATATGGATGGTGAGCTCTGAATCCAATCATCTGATTGCTTCATAGCTAATTCACCTCCATCTGTTAGCTTAATAGCTAATTGACTAACATCTGATGGCTTCATACCTAATTGACAAACATATGATGGCTTCATAGCTATCTGACCTACATCTGTTACCATCATAACTATTTAACATCTAAAAGCTTCATAGCTAATTAACAAACATCTGATAGCTACATAGCGAAGTGACCAACATCTGATAGAATCATAGCTAATTGACCAACATCTGATGGCTTCATAGCTAATTGGCCAACATCTGATGGCTTCATAGCTAAGTGACCAACATCTGATAGAATCATAGCTAATTGACCAACATCTGATGGCTTCATAGCTATGTGACCAACATCTGATAAAATCATAGCTAATTGACCAACATCTGATGGTTTTTTAGCTGATTGACTAGCATCTGATAGCATCATAGCTAATTGACCAAAATCTGATAGCTTCATAACTAATTGACATAGCGTAGCTGGCTGTCCTATTAAGAACTCATGATACCAGTTCTGCCTGATTGTCCACTTTCTACATTCTGTCCATGTGGGTACACTGTCTTCAAAGGCCCTGCTCCTCTGCTCTCCCCCCCAGGTATGCTGCCGGTGATTTCAACGCGGCCGCTGTCCAACTTTGAGCTGACACTCAGTCCAGACGGGATCCGGCTCGGCCACCGCTGCTCCAACCTCTTGGACCGCATTGAGCAAACCACCCATCATGGCTTCCTGACGGACTCCTCCAGGAATCCCGGGGTGATCGGGGCGACGCTGCCGTACCAGTACAGCGCCGCCATGAGGGGAGAGGGGGCACTGCGCTTCTACAGGAACCTGGACCTGGAGTCCTGCTTGTGGGAGTTTTCCAGCCACTACGACGTGTCCGAGCTACTGAGCGCCTGCGGGGGCTCCATCGGCACTGACGGACAGGTGGGCACTGCTGCGGCTGAGCACTTCTGAGACATTTCACAAAATAATCCCTTTCCTAGCAAAAAAAAAGAAATCATCACCAGTTGCCAAGGCAACCTCCCCAGCTGCAAGGGAGCTGATGGGCAAGAGTTTTTTTTGTGGAGTCCCCCATTGTTGTTAAAGGCTATCGGTAAATAAACAAATCAAGTAATCAAAAAGTGAACAATAAACTTTCCCGTCTTCATATTTTGTTTTCACACATATAACACACACACACATATATATATATATATATGTATGAGAAAAATATACAGCCCTTATTTTACGTGGTATTTGCCTAACCCTCATTTTATGACGAATTTGGAATGGAATATCAGCTAAGATGGCTATAACAGTATATTCTGGTGCCAATGGCAGCTTTTCACTGATTTCCTTTTTAGTGGAGCGAGAGCTTCTCTTGCACATGTCGTCCTGGGTAGCTCTGGTGAACAGTATTGATCTATTTCCTACTGAGAGTTTGAGGGCCTCTGTTTGTGATTCTGTGCAAATTGTGCAGTAAATTGTAGAGTATAATACCCTCTCCCTGCCTTTTCTGTTGCTGTCTGATTATTTCTGATTTTTATGTATTTTATTCTAATGTATTTGTAAGGAATTAAAAACACTACAGAACAATTCACTACAGAATGCCGGTGAGGTCGTTACCAAACAGTACTATCTCTTCTCTCGACTTGCTGGTAGGTTCTGAATCTGGTCCAATCGTATGTGACTCTCCGGGTCCCGCTACACGTGTCCTACGTGTTCCATTCGCCCGTGGGTGCCGGCAACTGGCAGCACTTCGACCTGCAGTCCGAGCTGCGGCTCACATTCGTGTACGACACTGCCATCTTGTGGAAGGATGGCGTCGGCAGCCCCCCAGAGGCCGAGCTGCAAGGCAAGTTGGCCTGAACGTAGCTGTAAGGTTAGCCAGCAGGACTAAAGAATGCTTACATTGTAGAGCACAAATTTTGACAGAGAAATACCAAACACTGACCCAACACAGAGAGTATTCTGTACATATCCATATAGCAGCTGTACTGTTTTGTCACCTGGGAATGTGACCTTGCGACCATGACTTACCTCTGTCACATATTGCAGGGGCTCTGTACCCGACTAGCATGCGCATCAACGATGCGGGCCGTCTGGTGGTCAACTTTCGAACCGAAGCCCGTTTCCGAGGCTTGTTTGTGCTCTCTCATCCAGGTATACCTCCCTGTTTTTGAGTTCCATTCAGACATCAGAAATGAGATTCTCGTGCTTGTATTTACACTGTTGTGTTCCAGCCTCGGATCGATCCTCCATGGTGCTGTGCACGGACCACCCCGGCCTCAGCTTTACCCTGAGCCTGATCAGGAGTGAGGCCTCCTACAATCATCCCCTGCAGCAGTGGAGCTTCACGTCAGACTTCTCGGTAAGAATGGCCCACATTTTCATATGACATCACTTCCTGTGCTTCCAAACAACCAACGCTGCCTACATCTGAGTGGTGAAGATTGCAGTAGCTTGTATGCAGATGTTGACGATGACAACACTCCATAATGGATACATTTGCAAGTAACTTTGGATCTATAGATCATCAAATCTGGAAGGTGCTGTGTCGTTTACTGGGTTGGGCCACAGTGTCTGTGATTGGAAGGTCATCAGCTCAAATCCCAGGATCGGCATAGTGGTATCACCTCTGGACCCATAAGCAAGATCCTTCCCCCCCAGATGCTCTATGGACTGACTGATCCGCTTTCACAAATGTACATGTGACCATGTAGGGTGGAGATTGTCCACCCTAGAGAGAGAGAGACCTTGATGGTTGTCTGTTGGTTCTCCTAGGTGTTTCCGCAATTTTAGCAACTAGTGTACATGTGTTCGTTTCATAGCTTTCATAACATGTAACAGCTTCATACTCATCATGATGTACCTTCAGAAGGATATCTCCTCCTCCCCCAGGTGAGAGACTACTCAGGTACATACACGGTAAGGCTGCTTCCATGTACAGCTGCTCCTGGAGTGGAGTTCACGACCCCCCCTGTCTGTAACCCCCGGGAGCCTGTGACCTTCGACCTGGACATCCGCTTCCAGCAGGTGACCTGGCCGCCTCGCGCCCTTTCGGCTCGATTTGTTCGCCGGGTTTGGATCCTCTTGCCACTCCCTCTCTTCGCCTCTTCACCACTATTCCATGGGTGGCTTCACAGGTGAGTGATCCAGTAGCTGCCGAGTTCAGCCTGAACACACAGATGTTTCTGCTGTCCAAGAGGGCGCTCTGGCTGTCGGATGGGTCCATGGGGTTTGGCCAGGAGAGCGACGTAGCATTCTCTGAAGGTGATACCGCCGTAGCTCTTTATTGACCAGCCAGTAGAGCCCAGTTGTGGCCCCCTGCCTGTGCTCCATGACCGCAGTTTGACTCTCTCGCTCACCCAGGTGACGTGATCTATGGCCGCGTGATGGTCGATCCCGTGCAGAACCTAGGCGACTCCTTCAAATGCAGTATTGAGAAAGTCTTCCTTTGCACCGGCGCTGACGGCTACGTCCCCAAATTTAACCCCGGCACCTTCGAATTCGGCTGCCTGGCCGACTCCCCATCCCTCTTGTACAGATTCAAGATCATCGTAAGCTCTGTGCTTCCCTTCCGTAAATCCCGAGGGGCTGAATGTAAATCGTCTTTAGAATGGAACCACAGTGGGTCACATTTTAATCCCAAAGTTACGTCCTGCATCTCAGTACTGACTCATCAGCTACTGCTTCTTGCAGGCGATGCACATATTTTTAAAATCCATCATGTATTGCTGGAGTCTTAATGAGGCCACGCTGAGAGATTTAAGCATTTTTGCAATTAGCAGATTTTTTTTTTTCTGTAGCAATTTACACAGAATTCAGTCAAACTTTTGAAAGGCTTCTATTTACCGCTTAAGTACTTCCCCTGGGATACCAGTCATTCTCCATCTGATATGTAAACTATTTAATCCAGAGCAGATGCCCCTTTGCTGCTTGCAGGTAATTATTATTATTTTTAATAATGTTATTTTGTAATGATTGTTATTAAATTCCCATTCCAGGACAGAGCTCAGCCTGAGACACAGGCCTGGAGTTTCGGAAGCGTGGACTTCAGCGCTGTCTTGGCTGTCGATGACCCTGACGCGCTGCCATTGGTTAGACAGCCGGGTTCGGACGGCTTCCAGTTGGACTCCTCAGCCCTCTTTCAGGTGTGCACCTCCCACTCTCTCTCTTACCCCCTCTTCCTATCCATTCAATGAGATGGACTTCGAACGTGGCAGCATGTTACATTTACTCTACAATTATTTATTTAGCGTGTGACTTGTGAAAAGCTTGTGATTATGGAACAGGGTCACCCAGCATCCCTGGGAGTAACGGTTTTGGTCAAGTACCCAGTCATGATATGATTACTCAGCTGACCATGGGATTGGAACCCATGACCTTCTGGACACAGGCACTGATCTGTAACTCATTTAACTACCCTGTCCATCATCATGATGGTCCAGCACCATTTTTCAGATTTATCATTGTTTTTTATATTGCATATAGGCCCCATTCGTGGTTAAATTCTAATCATGATTTGATCTGGCTGTATGTTTCCGAGGGCTCAATAGTTATAACCTCACACTTCCAAGGCTACGGGACCGTATCCCACACTCGTCTTTTTTGCTTGGTATTCCTCTGGGTAGTTGTGTATTCTCTATGGTCCAGAATTACTGATCTTAGTATCTGTGAGTTCCCTGCAGCAAGTGAGGCATGGCAAAAAACACACACACACACACACAAGTTGGTCTTCCTATCTAAATGGGGACCGTCCATTAATCTCTATGGGAAAAACCCTAATCCCAATCACGACACCCTTAACCTCTACCCATCCCTAACCTTAACCATACTGTAAGTAACCAACCCAAATACAAGACTTTTGGCATTTTTACTTTTTTGATTGCATTCACAGATGTTTTTAAAGCTGAGGTTATCCAAATGGGGACCTCAAAAGATGTCCGCAAAAGTAGGGAAATTTCAGGTTTTACTACACTTTGGGGACAATTTGGTCTATGCAAACCCACACACACACACACATATAAACAGCTGAGGAAAAAATTAAGAGACCACTCTATATTTTTGAATAAATCTGCATTTTTAAATCCTGGTTTAATCGTGGTTCTGCTGGCAGAAGGCTATGCAGAGCAGCAGGGTGCTTCCAGGTTCAACATTTCTAAGACAGCAGTACACAAGACCAAGGTGAAGCAGGAGATATTGGGAATGACCAGAAACCAGCCAGACAAAGGGCGGAAGCGACTTTCTCATGCCAGAGATGATTGTTAAATAATCTGACAGTTTCCCATGAATTGTAGGATGACATCAAGTGACCTTCAAAAAGAATGGGAAATATTAAGTGCAGGTGTGAAGTGAAATTTCCTCGCTGCTTAATATTCCGCAGTCAACTGTCAGTGGTATTATAACAAAGTGAAAGCATTTGGGAACAACAGCAACTCAGCCACAAAGTGATAGGACGCGTAAAATCACAGAGCGGGGACAACGCATGCTGAAGCTCACAGTGTGCAGAAGTCGCCAACTGTCTGCAGAGTCAATAGCTACAGACCTACAAACTTTGTGTGGCCTTCAGATTAGCTGAAGAACTCTGTGTGGAGGACTTCATGGAATGGGTTTCCATGGCCGAGCAGCTGCATCCAAGCCTTTCATCACCAAGTGCAAAGCGTCAGATGCAGTGGTGTAAAGCACAGTGCCACTGGACTCTAGAGCAGTGGAGACGTGTTCTCTGGAGTGAAGAATCACGTTTCTCTGTCTGGAAATCCGATAGACGATTGTGGGTTTGGCGGTTGCCAGAAGAACGGTACTTGCCTGACTGCTTTATGCCAAGTGTAATGTTTGGTGGAGGGGGGAATATGGTGTGGGGTTGCTTTTCAGGGGTTGGGGTTGACCCCGTATTTCCAGTGAAAGGAACTCTTAATGCTGCATTATTCAAAGCCATTTTAGACAATTTCATGCTCCCAGCTTTGTGGGAGCAGTTTGGGGATGGACCCTTCCTGTTCCAATATGGCTGCGCACCAGTGCACAAAGCAAGGTCCATAAGGACATGGATGAGAGAGTCTTTTGTGGAGGAACTTGACTGGCCTGAACAGAGCCCTGACCTCAACCTGATAGAACACCTTTGGCATGAATTAGAGCAGAGACTGTGAGCCAGGCCTTCTCATCCAACATTAGTGTCTGACCTCACAAATGCTTTCCTGGAAGAATGGTTAAAAATTCCCAAAAACACTCATAAACCTTGTGGACAGCCTTCCCAGAAGCATTGTAGCTGTTATAACTGCAAAGGGTGGGCCAGCAACATATTAAAACCCTATGTATTAATAATGTAATGTCATCAATGTTCATGTGTGTGTAAAGGCAGGTGTCCCAACACTTTTGGTAATACAGTATGTATTTATGTGTGTATGTATGTATGTGTGTGTAAATATATGTTTACACTGTATATAGACACATGTACATTACATTACATTACATTGTGAGGACCATGTGTCCCCACAATGTGATAAAAACCTGTCATTTTGACGTTGTGGGGACACTCAAAAATAGAGAGACATTATTCAGATTTATTTTGTTTGATTTCTGTTTAAGAACAGCAGACACATTCCCTGAACTTTTCCCCTGCACCATATCTTTGCCCGCAGCTATACTGTAATTCCTTTCCACCGGGACCCTCCTGATTCAAGATTCAGTTCATTATTGTCGTGGTACACAACAGTACCGTGAGATTGGGGCCGGAACTGTGTGAGTGACGCAAACCAAACACAGGACAGACATTTACTGTTTAACAAAATGTTCAAAATATGAGAAGTACAAATGGATAAATAGTGTATGGTGGTGTGGTATGTTCTGAGTCCTGAGTGAGTCCTTAGTGAGAGTCCTTTAATTCCCTTAATTCCCAATTAGTGAATTTTGGTGGATGACTGGCTCTTTCCAGGTGTCCAGTGGGAGGGAGTGGTTCGTCCATGCCATCTACACCGTGCGGTCAAGGGGCAACGCCAACCGGGGAATGGGGAAGAGGAGTACAGAGTACCACTCTCTGGTGTCATCAGGCCACCGTCACACAGCTCAGCAGCGCCCCAAGAGGTCATCCGGCAGCGTGCCGGCCATCACTGCTGAGATAGGACCACAAAACAGCAGAGGCACCAACATTCAGCACATCAGGCTACGGCGACACCCCGAGGGTCACGACCGGGAGGTGCATGCTGGTGGCGTCACGCCACAGGAATTCAACCACAAGGGCAGCGCCGATGGGCACCTGCTGACCTCTGGATTACTGGCCGGCCTGCTTATCCTGGTCGTCCTGGCCCTGGCTGCCGTCATGTTAACGCTGCGGTTCAAAGCAAAGAAGGCGTATCCTCACAGCCCAAGCCAAAAGGGCCTGGTGGTGACTCAAGGATATAACTGTAAGGACAGCACAGAGGTGTGAGTACAAGCACCTCCATCGGGGGTCCTGATGGGAGGGTAAATGGAAACTCTGCTGTATCCCATTGGGCCCATCTTACCCACAATGCAGGCCTCCGTCTGCAGCAGGTCTTCCCATCTGTGAAGTGCTTTTATCCTATGCTCATGTTTTAATGATTTATCCAAAGGTTCTAGAACTTCACATTACCAGTTTGGCACGAGGTGTAGGAGGATTCTTTCAGTGAATGTCGATTATTTAATTGATGGTGTGAAATGTAAAAAGACCCAGTTCAGTTGTTCCAGTGAAATATTTATACACCCAGAGCCTACCACTGCTGTATACCTATCTTAATGTATATACACCGTACACTTTCATCACGAGTGCATCAGTATTTTCAGTCTTACAGTGGTTTAATCTTTTTGTCAAGCCCTTTTACATATTTGAATTATTCACATTCGTAATGTCCAGAAGGATCAGAAGCAGACGTGAAGCTGAAAACTGGATTTCACGGACATTGTATTGCATTTTTTTTTTCCCCGATCTCTGTTTTCCAAATGTAAGCGATGTGTTATTTCAGTGTGTTTTTGACTTCACCTTGTGACACGCTAAATATTCTGGACACTGGTCGTCTGTTATTTCTGCATGCACTGTGTTTTTACCCTACCTCTTTTCATTCTGGTGTATTATTCTGTGTAAAGCTGCATATGTAACACTTTACGTGACAGGGCAGAAATACTTAGTAATAACTCAGTTACTACTGAAGTACAAATTATGAACCAATCATGAACAAATATAGTTGCTACTTGAGATAAGATGCATCAAGATTCATTGATGATGAACAAACATGACATCAGTATTTAACTTGTGTTATTCATGACTCGTTCCTTCAGTAGTGTACAAAGGATTACATAATTAACACATATAGTAATAAATATAGTAACTGCTTGAAAACATGCATCATGATTCATTAATGATGAATTAACATGAGATCAGTATGTAACTAAGGCTTAGTTTGTGGTTAATTAATGCATAAGTAATAGCATAATACTATATTATTGTGCCCAGTCGTAAAGTGCTACCACTGCATCTTGTGAGAACATTCTGGCTGTGACAACCCAGTGCAAATCAGGCATCAGTGTCAGCAGTGAGGTTCACCTTTCATCCAGAACTGGAGAAATGTTCCTAATAATTTTGAGCAGTCAGTACTATGTCCTTGTTATGAAACAATGATGTTCACTCTTCAAGAAACTGATTAAATTATGAGCCTGTGGATCTTTCAGGATGTTTAATAAGCAGTTTCTTTTTGCTGTCATAAAAACAATGGAATTTCGGGTCCAAACAATAAATGACATTAGAAGGGAAAATATAATAAAATAAAATAAATCTGGTACAGGCAAACAGGCTTCACAATTGTCAAAGTGCTGGACCACAATAAGAGAATCAAACACATTTAGCAATAAGACGTCGCACTTTGCTTCAATACAATTTTATTGTAAGTCTGCACACGACAAAGACACATTTCTGCATGATGCCTTCCTCAGTGTGCTGCACACATGTGCAGTTCACATTTAAAGAGACACATCCCTGTGGGACAGCCAGTGATAACACAACAGGTCACCCCCCAAAAAATGGTGTAAAAATCGCATTGAAGCAAAGTGCGACCTCTTTTTGCTAAATTTAAAATGAAATAAAGCCATAGAGGATAAGCATGGCTTATACATCCAAGTATAGGCATTAGGCTGACAGGGTTCCCCCATTCCGGTCCTGGGGGGCCAGAATCCAACACAGTTTGCAGACTTCACTCCTCAGGTACATTACCAGGTTTAGTATGTGTATCTGAGCAGGGAAATCTGCACTCTGTGTTGCAAACTAGCCCTCCAGGACTGGATCTGATGAACTCTGTCTTAGGGTCTTACCATCTATCCAACAGGTATGGTTCTGATGAAATGCCAGATTTTCTGTGCAGCATCTGGAAGCTGCAGTGTATGACTCGACCATGTAGAGTACAGGAGAGACTGCAGGATTTAATCACGATGAAGTGTGAATTGAGAACAACTCCATTTAAATTGCTAGACATGAAAAATGCGCAGGTGCAGTGAGTCACCACAAACAACTGCAGTCACCTGACCTGTCCCATCAAACTGCCACGCCCCCACACATGTCATACTGTAATGCAACTCTGAAAAATGATGCATACCTCACCTACGATTTAAACAAACACATTATCCAATACACACAGAAATCTTGTTCATATGTCTCAGCTTATTTAATCATGCTAATTACTGTGCAACTGCACTGAGTGCTTATGATAAATATGTTGAACATAATGAAACTTAAGTTAAACATGTTTAACATCTTTTTGCTTGCATGTACATGTATGTACTGTCATGGACTCAAGTTTAAAAAATGCACACAAGTCACAGCAGATAAAAGAGCATCAGCCCCAGTAGAAATTAATGGGTGGGGTCAAGCCCATAAGAAAAGAGCCAGTGATTCAGACAGGGAGACCCGGCTCACCTGTTCAGGGAGGCTATTTTAAAGTGGTGATTATGGATGAGTGGCAGCTGGTCTGACCACTGTGGGTCACTGTGGGCGGGACTCTGCGGCAGCAGGTCAGCTGATTGGCTGTCCAGAACCCTAGTCCTGAACACTCTGACAGGTGTTTGCTCTGCATTGAGCCCTGCCCACCTGGCCATCAGCCATGATGCTGTGTGAGAGTAGGTCCGAAGGTGCCACCATGACAGTACATACACATTTACTGAAGATACAGTCACCTTCACTGGGATGTTTTGGAAATGTCCAGTGTTACAATATTGCCAACACACATGAGGAACTTGTAACATAAATCTCATATAAACAGGAATGTGGTCTGCACTATAAATACCTCTTTTTCAGAAATTATTATGCATTTTCTTGCATATCACTTTGTTAAGCTAAGCCATGATTTTTATTTCTAGTATTGAATTGTATTCAGGTATTGAATTGTAGGTTTGAGAGAAATTGGGCCGTTTTCTTGCAAAATAATTAATTTCTTCAGTTTCTGTTGCTTAATATCTTCTTTCATTTCATATACTTTCATTATGTTAATATAAACATGTCACAAAAATGTCACTTTTTAGTACTGAGTAAAACAGATTTATGTCCCTTTAATGTCTTAAAACTGCCACCAATGTAAGTTTCAGCTTTTATATAAAGCAGATGTGTGTATCTTGTGTTGCTATGGAGATTGGTGTTGCTATGGAGATCGCCAAGACCTGTTGCCCCATTTCCTGTTACATGCAGTGGGTAAATATTTTTCTGAGGGGTCAACGGTTTAAAAAAGACAACAAATTAACAGTTTTTTTACAAATAAAACGTAAAACTGCCAGTGGTATTTCATTCAAGTGGAAAATGATAACGGGAAATATAAAGTCCTTCTATATTATGTTACATATCTATTTTTATTTATTTGAAACACAATGAGGAGATATTTATATACCATTTCAAATATGTGTCTCACGTGGCTTTAATTATGTATAGATATGTAAGCACTGTATTTGAATGGTTTTTAAATGTTCAACTGTGTGTGCGTGTGAACCTACCTTTAATGTTTTTAGGGGCTGTTTATCTATAAGAAGATAGTGAGGAGTCATATTTGTATTCTCCACTTTCATTTCAAAACAGTTCTTCCCACTTGCCCCCCTCCAGTTTTGGCTGTAAGACCGGGTTCTCTGGGAAATCATGTGGTCTGTTCAGCTATTCAGTGACAATGTGCCAGGTTTCGCACTGTGAAATTCAGCGGCCAGTGCAGTGGTCTCACACTGGGCCGTCCAGCAGGAGGGAAGCGCTCAGCTTATTTGTGGCAGGTAAGCTCTCCCAGGGACAGGCAGGGTGTCCCTGGCTCTGATCAGCTTCTGCTTGCTGGATGTTTATAAGTAACATTTGATATACTTGCAGGTTTTGTAAAAGGAGTAGAGACTGCAGAAAGAAGTTGATTAAAAGGCATGATAAGACCAAGCCAAAGAACAAGATGAAGTTTGCACTGATCCTCATTGTCAGCCTGACCGCAGTAGGCGCTGAACAGCCATTGTGAGTGTCAAGATCAAGCCCTTTTCTCATTTGCGATGGATTGGTGTTTAATGTACACGGGTGGTATAAATCGACACAGTCAGGAACCTTGATATCTGTGATACCCTAGTCGAGAAAAGGGAGGACGTGCATGATTTTCCTGACGACGCTTTGTATGGTGGCCTGGGGAATCTGCATGGCCCTGGGCATTGGCACCCCAGCCCCCCTCCAGGTCCTGCCCCTTTAAGGATGACCAGGGCGGTGTCCCAGAAGCTTCAAGTGGGGTGGGGGTAGTGTGGGGGGCACGAATCATCCCAGTTATAGCAATATTCTGCTTTATTTTCACGTATTACTATTCAATATTTTTTCTTGGGTATTTGTGTATTTATAAATATACCTGTTTATGTAACAATATTTATTGTTATTATTATTGTTGTTGTTGTTGATGATGATGATGATGGTAATTTTGAGTTAATCTGATTTCTGAAATCTGACACAAAAGTATGCGTGCATTTACACGTGTAATTCAGATGCCTGATCACAGCCCCTAATGTCGTTCATCTGGATGTGGACGAGACGGTGACCGTCCAGCTCGACGGTGCCACCACTGATGTCGCTGTCAAACTTCACTTTGAGGACGAACTCAGCAAAAAGCAATTGTCAAACATGGAGACAGTATTACTTAACAGGGACAACGATTACCAGGCCACAGTTAAGCTCAAGGTAAGCACTGTTAGGTCGCAGTTTTTCTGCCTACAAAAATAAAATTCATATATAGAAATGCCGACGGACAAAAAAAAAATCCATTTTGTTGACGACCAAAACTGCTCAGAAGAACTTGAAAATGGAAAGACAATGTGTGTTAGAAACTCCCACACTAATCCTGTAACAAATATATTTCTGATTCAATGTAGGTACATCTAAGCAACTATCAGAATTTGAAAAAAAATTTCTATGTCCAATTGGTGGCAGAAAGTAGTATATTTACAAAGATACGGAAGGCAAACATAATCCTGTCCTCCAGGAAAGGATATATCTTCATCCAGACAGATAAACCCATCTACAACCCGGGGGATAACGGTAACGTGTTTTAATGTTTTGTGCTATAAAATGATAATATGGCTGACACTTTTAATATATGGCCATATGTAATGTAAGAGAACCCAGTGAAGGACAGTATGAACTAACTTTGAACTGTTATGTATTCTATATGTATTATCAAAAAAAAAAAAATCAGTCCATTTCAGAGTCTTCACATTGGACCAATACCTGCTGCCAGTAGATGAAGCTATCAAAGTAAGAATACTGGTGAGTATCTGATTGGCCTTGGTCTCCAGGATGTGGAACACATCATGTTCCCCTGGATGGTGCTCAACTTGGCTTTTCCTACAGAATTCCAAAGGCCTGATGATCTACAACAACGCTGTGCGATCCAGGCAGATCTATGAGCATAGAATAGGAATACCTGACGTTGAGCAGTAAGTGACGGATGATTCTTGTAGTTGGTGCCCCGTGATTTCGGAACACTGGATTTTGGCATAACAAGGTAGTTTGTGAAGGTGCAAATATCATAACTTCTGTGATGTTTTTAGGGCTGGCCACTGGAAAATAATTGCTTGGTTTGCACATTACCCCATGTCCAATTCCAGTGTGGAATTTGAGGTCAAGGAATACGGTATGTCTTTATGTCTTAATGTCTTCATGCATGAATCTGTAGAAGGTTAATGGTGCATAAGGTTAAACGATTACAGTACTGTATGGTTCGGAGGGGTGGCGCAGTGGTCAGCACTGTTTCCTCATGCCTCTGGGACTGGGGTTTGAGTCTCTGCTCTGGCTCTATGCATCTCCTCCCCATGTTGTCATGGGGTTTCCTCCCACAGTCCAAAAATGTGCTGAGGTTAGTTGGAGCTACCAAATTCCCTGCATGTGTGAGTGACTGGGGTATTCCCTGCATGGCGCCCACCGCTTCTGGAACAGGCTTGAGACACCTGTGACTATGAATAGGACAACTGGGTACAGAAGATGGCTGGATGGAGTATGGCTCAGTCGAAATGTTTTATGTCAAATTATTTAATTACCTTAACATACCCCATCATGTTCAAATAAATCTTTTAAATTATTTGATTCTGCTTAGTTCTTCCATCATTTGAAGTGACCATAAAGGCCCTTAAGCCTTACTACCTGCTCAAGGACCCGGCATTAAAATTCAGTGTATCTGCAAGGTGGGTGTGTCTGACAGTCTGTGAAGTTTGAGTTAAAGTGTCTAAGGCTCTTTAATGTGCCCCTTACCATGTGCTTTGCTAATTCTAGGTACACTTATGGAAAAGGTCTCCAAGGCTTAGCCTACATAAGATTTGCACTTGTGGATGAACAAGGCAACAGGACATATCTGCCTGGTCTTGAAATGCAAAATAAAGTAAGAGAATTAAATGAATCACTGTATTTTTTATGTAGCAAAAATACAGCCAGGTGTTTGGAATACTTGCAATGCCAAATATCCTTTTCTGCCATGACAGATTCTGGATGGGAACACAGAAATTACTCTCCACACAGAGGAGCTGCGCCACAAAGCAGAAATGCAAAGCATCACAAACATAGAGGGCTATCACCTTTACATTGCAGTGAGCGCGCTTGAGACTGCAAGTAAGACAAACATGACACAGGGGCAGCACGGTCCATTCATGGATCATTCTCCTCCAGCTGTGGTTTACTCATGCAAGACATTGATGCTCCACATTAGGATGCAGTCTTTCCTTAGACATTTGTTTCAAAGCCTGAATTTTCACTTGATCAGCTTAACTTATCAAGCTGAGGGCAGTGTGTGGTTCAGTAGGCTAAACCTCTGCCTGTGATCAAACGGTCACCAGTTTAAAGGAGCAGTTCACCCTGTAACTAAAACAGAGATGTTTTAGAGGGGTGTTAGTACTCTCTATCCATCCTGATTGTTCTGCTGGGAGTTGCCTAGTTTTGGAGATATCGGCCGCAGAAACGTCGGGCTTCTCTGGGACTGAATGAAATTCACTCTCTGGTGATTAAAGCGGCAAAAAATACATTTAAGAAATTCAACAGCAACCTCTCTTACCAGAACTTATGACGGGTTACTTGCGCAGAAGATACAAACACCCTGGTGATATGATACGATTGATATGATTGGTGTGATGAGTTCGGTAGAAGGAAATAGTTTGTACATCAAATTGCTCACTACAAAATCTGTGGATTATCTTGAGTAATCATGATTTCTGAATTTTATTCGAGTGAAGCCTGACATTTCTATGGTTGATATCTCCAAAACTAAGCGACTCCCAGTAGAATTTCCCAGATGGATAGAGGGCGGCGCTAAAACCCCTCTACAACATTTGTTTTTCAGTTTTGAGGTGAACTGCCTCTTTACATCCAGGCCTCAGCAGATCAACTCTATGCCTGTTGGCCCTTGGGCAAGGTCCTTAACCCCCAGCGAATGGGGCTTTGTACGCTGGCTAGTCCTGAGCTGTGACCCCCAGCTTGATTTCACTTGCATATGTGTCTCATGGGGAGCAAGATGGGGCAAAGCAAAAAGAGAACTTTCCCACACGGATTAATAAAATGCCACTGTTCTATTTTGTTTCATGTTCATCGAGCGGAGTGCTGCCTGAAAGGTTTGCAGTTTTGTTGTACTTCTCTAGCCTGTGAAATAAGACCTTTGCTCTGTTCCACTTCAGCCGGAGAGCTTGAGGAGGCAGAGAGCTTGGTGAAGATTGTTTCCACGCCTTATCTGATCGATTTGTCAAAAACAAAACAATATTTCGTACCTGAGGGCGAGTTCTCCATCTTGGTAATAGTTTCTACCTACGTATTTCATTACACATCCATCCTTTAGTTTCATAGCCAAACATTCCATCCTCTTAATATTAAATTAGGCTACCACAACCTACCCAGATGGAACTGTGGTCCCAAACCCCAAAATGAGGGCCACTGTGGATGTAACGGGCGTCACTGATGAGCCCATCAACCTGGAAGCAGCTGGCAATGAGGATGGGGAGGCACAACTGACTTTTAAAGTACCCAAGCAGGCAAAATCTCTGAACATAAAGGTAACATCTGAAGGAAGCTCTCACCCCGCTGACGCTTTTTTATTCTAGGAACGTTTACCAAACGTTGCGATTAAGGTATGGAAACGTTCAAAGTGTCCCAGTACTACCACAACTAAGAAATATAATGTATGTGCAGGGGGTAAAACAGTTGCTTTACATCAAAGGTCAGGGGTTTGAAGCTGCATGGGGCATTTCCCATATACACCTATAGCACTGTTATTAAATAATGTTTTATAATAAACATCAATTGCGTTAAAAGGATGTTTAGCTAATAATGTTATCGTGCTGACATTGACAGAATCTTAAATGTAAATCGTGGAAATAACGTTACATTAACTTTGAGAAGACCTTCTTGTAATATTGCCTGACGTTCTGATAACGTTCCCTGTTAGCTGGGCAGCTGTAACATCTGGCTGCACATTAGCTTGGACGGCAGTAACATTAAATTTTGCTTATTCTTGTCCCGTGGCAGGTGTTTGCTGAAGGGGAGCGTGAGAAAGCTCTCCTCAGCGATGCCCAAATGACAGCCAAGGTCATGACCTCACCGAGCAGCAGTTACCTGAGTGTCGAGGTGCCCCACGTCACCCTGAGGCGGGGCCAGGATATCACTGTGGTCTTCAGAGACATCACTGACTTCAACCGGCCTACACACATCTACTACATGGTGCAAGAAACTTCTAATATCATGTCATAAGCTGTATCATACACACCTGGTCCTTTTAGGAGGAATTGTAGTTACTTCTTCTCATTTCCTTGATGCAGATTTTGAACAAAGGTAAAGTGGTCCAGCTAAGGAAAGTCCAGCGTACAGAGCTGACCACTGTCCGCCTGGCCTTCAGCAATGACCTTGTCCCCTCCTTCCGCATTGTGGCCTATTACTATATAAAGCAAAGAGGTAACTGGATGATGGTGGCCGACTCAGTTTGGGTGGATGCTCAGGATGTCTGCGAAGGCCAGGTAGGTGACCTAAAATTTCAACAGCCACGAGCTGACGTCTCCGTTTGACCCCAGTTTTGTCCTAAATACCCCGATGGATGTCCTTTGTGTCCTCAGATAGAAATTCTGCCCTTCAAGCGCAACTACAAACCGTCGGAGATCTTGGACGTGATGGTTCAGACGGACCGTGCAGACAAGGTTGCGCTCGCAGCTGTTGACACTGCAGTGTACATTTTAAACAAGCAGGACAAGCTGACCTCTCGCAAGGTAGCATAGCGCCATACACTTAATAAGCTGTTCTCACAGTCGTTACTACAGAACTCTGCATCTATCCTGATTTGTTCTGTCTTTGGCATCCAGATGTTTCATTACATGAACTCTTACGACCTTGCTTGTTCAGTGGGAGGGGGGAAAGACCATCTGTCAGTTCTCCTCGATGCCGGCCTTACATTCATCAGCGAAATCCTACCCGAGAGGAGCATGAGGCGAGGTGTGGGAGAATGCGATGCGAATAAATATCCGAGATGTTGCCGCATGAGCGTTTATGGAGATAAATGGTCAAAATGGCTAACGGCGGATGATGGTTCACTCCTTCCAGACTTTGGTTGTCCGGCAGGGGAGACACGGCAGAAAAGGTCCACTGAATACTCCAGGCTGGTAGTGGACTTAGGTGAGGGGGTGGGGGGGGCTCATCCTCTACGTTTACGCGTGGATGTGTGTCTCTACCATGTGGCGGCCGCCTGTCTGGACGCGACTTTTCTGTGCCCCTTGTCTGCAGTGAACAGCTACAAGGCGCGCGCGGAGAAGCTGTGCTGTAACAATGGGGTGAAGATCCACCCCTTGCGGCACTCCTGCGAGACACGGCACGCCCACACCGCCCACCAGTCCCCTGAGTGCCGACGGGCGTTCCTAAGATGCTGTAATGAGGCCAAAAAGAAAAGGGACGAGCTCCGCAAGTCAAAGAGGAGACACAGCATCGCGAGAAGTACTGCATCTCACCTGTCCCACTGATTTGCCAATATCTAAATGCATTTCACGTCTAATACCAAATTTCTAGTCTCTAGGTGTGTTCAGGGGCTGCATCCTTCAAAGGACGCGGTCTAGGAAACCCTGACCGTCACCAGCTGTTCCTGCCTTTGTCCTTGAGTCACAAAGCACACAGCCTTTGCTGTACTGTATACAGTTCAGTGTGCTAAAACTCCCCAGATTCATAACCTGTTCTTCATCCTAATAATCAGATATTAGCGATACTGCTCATTTTGTTCTGGGTAAATGGGCAAACTTGCATCCGCTCGTATTGATGTTTACAGGTCACTGGTGAGTGTGGCTTCAAACTGATCTTAATCAGCTCCATCCTGACACTGTTGCTCATTTCTAGCTGACAGCAGTGTGCAGGAGGAAGTAGACTACAACAACCTGAACATCTACCTGCGCAGTTTCTTCCCGCAGACGTGGATGTGGATGACTAAGGATGTAGATGCTACTGGGGTTCTCAGGTGAGCCATCATCTCCTCTGGGATACTTAAGTTTGAAGCGAGGGCTTCTTTTGGCCGATGGATGTAGATGTGCATCACACAGATCACCAATCAAAGACAGAGACAGTGCTCAACGCTCAATGCTGTTCTTCAGGCACAGCATCTCAGTTCCGGACTCCATCACCACCTGGGAAGTACAAGCAATCAGCATGTCCAAAGTGAAAGGCAAGTCTCGCCCACGCAGCCGGGACATCAGTTCAGGCCGTCCCTGCATGAATCGATGTTAATTTCCTCTTGTGTTCCTCCCCAGGGTTCTGCATAGCTGAGCCAAGGCCACTCACAGTCTTCCAGGACTTTTTTGTGTCTCTGAAACTCCCCTATTCAGTGAAGCGAAATGAGCAGCTGGAGATGAAGGCTGTGCTGTATAACTACAGGGAGGAGCCCTTGGAGGTAATCGCTGGGAAATGCGGCTGCTGGATGCCGTCCCTGGTCTCCGCCTCATAGGGTTACAGCCCTGGTTCTGGAGGGTCGGTTTAGTTTTCAGAATATTCTGCAATTTCATTTCAGTGTCCCCTACTGAGCAGGTCGTCAAATCGTAAATGTTACATGTATGTTTTCTGATACCTTTATGCCTTTCTGATGATTCTCCGCGTGCGACAGAGACAAGGCCAGCCCTCGGCGAGATCCTGCTGAGCCCATCTCCCCCACCCCACCCCCAAGAGAAAACAAATTTTGTCACTTTATATTAAAAACATTTCAGTAGCACAGGGTATCTGGCTGCTAATTAGCATCTGATTCACAAGCACAAGGAAAGCAGTGAAAATCAGAATATCACAGAATACAACCAGAGGCTTTTCTTCTGATTTTTCACTCGCCATTTTGCACCCTCTAATCAAATGGCGCCCTTGGCGACCGTCTACAGTATGTCGCCTATAGGCAAGGCTGAGTCTGGAGAGAGATCGGGGTGACTTTGCACGTTGCATCATGCGTGTGTAGCAGAGTGGTGGATGGTGCACTGATGTGAACAAGCTACAAGAATATCCAACTACACCACCCTGGAACTTTCACCCAGGGATATTCGTGCAGTGACTTTCACCCAGGGATATTCGTGCAGTGACTTTCACCCAGGGATATTCGTGCAGTGACTTTCACCCAGGGATATTCGTGCAGTGAGTTTCACCCAGGGATATTCGTGCAGTGACTTTCACCCAGGGATATTCATGCAGCGACTCTCCTCCTAGCCTAACGCTAGAGGCACATAGGTTTGGTCCCCCAACAAGCAGAAGCAAAGACTTTATTCCAGTACAAAAATATTTGTTTAAAAGCAATACACCGAATATGAGCAGCACTTTGCCAGTGAGGTAAACCACACCCCCTTACAAGTCAACTTCTTGAAACAGGACCCTGGATTCTGTAGAACAACACACCTTACTCAGATAAATACATACTCATGGGAGGCACCAGCAGGAGGGCAAACCACCAAAAATAAAATCAAACAAAACCAAACCACCCATGTACACATGCACACACACTCTGCAGTGCTGCCATCTTAGCCAGGCACAGTGTGAGATCCCACCACCAGGGATTCAGTCTCCCCATGCTTTGTCCCCCCATGCCTGATGAAAGACAAAACCAAGTCAATTTAAGAGGTTAACTATACAAAAGCAACGAAAACACAACCGGTACCAGGCAGATCACCCTCACAGGGGATTTAACAGGACACTAATCAAATTACAGTCCTGACTGCTTCTGGAGTACAATCCAGCAACTAAGAAAAGACAGTAGAATGGAACGGCGATTCTCCAAAGTGGACGACGTAATCTCCAGCCGAAGAGGCGTCTGGAACAGGATGGATCCACAACAACAACATCAGACGCAAAAACAGCTGTGATAAGTCCTGGCCACTCCAAAGATGAAACTTAACTGAGACTACAATTATCTTGAAAAGTATACAACACCAACATCAATACTGAATGTACCAGGAGCCAAATGGAAAAACTAACTCAGCTCTGCCCCGCTTGCAGCTATAACAATCTCGTAGTTGAAGGTTTCAAAGCGGCAGCGTTTGCGGCTAAAAGCTAACATTCAACAAATTCATTATTCCCTCTTCGATTAGGCAATATGAACGCTGACTCACTACGACGCACCTGTTAGCTAAACACCTTGTTTAAAAGAAATATACCTGAACTGTGAAGGAATGTAAAATGATTGGCAGCATTGCTGCTACCTAAGCCATTCAGATGTCCCACTAAAAGTCATTTAAAAATAACTTTTAACGAACAGTAATATTAACTGAGTGTGTCAGGTACAAATGTGTGACATAACGCATACCTGTACGAACTGGAAACCGGAGCAGGGTGGAGCTTCCCAGATGCTATACCATATATCTTATAATAAGGTGGAATGACGTTAAATAACCAATTGGGGATGTGCGGGTAGGCGTGTACCCAGTCAGGCCCTCTCACTCCACCACATGTGCATCAGTATGTTTGTAGTTCATGGGTTTGTGTGCTTGTGCTTCCGACCTCAGGTGACCGTGTGGATGGCTTCGGTGGAGGGCTTGTGCAGTGCCGGCAGTGAGAGAGACATGCAGGCAGTGACGGTTCCCGGGAACTCCGCTGTCTCCGTCTACTTCGTCATGGTGCCCCTGATCATTGGAAACATTCCCATCCAAGTGAGCGCGTTCACCTCTGATGGTGTGGGTGACATGATAAAGAAGGACCTCAAAGTGGTGGTACGAAACCTTCCTTTCTTTCCTAGTGTGTTTTTGTTTGTTTGCACTCTTTTTGAAAAGTAAACGGTTATATTCTTCTGCTTCTATTCAACTTTGCTTTAGGCAAAAAGTGTGGATTTGTGTATCGTACAATGACCTTGTCTCACTTCCCGCTTTTGCACATTTGATGCGTATTGATCAGATTATTCCATGTTTTTCACTATGTTTTACAGGGGGAAGGAGACCTTGTATCTCAGCAATACGAATACAATCTTGACGTGAAAGGTAACCTGTTTGCGATGCCTGAAATGCCTGAATGCGGCAACCAGGAGGGGAGATACTCATTTGGGCTGAGGTGTGAAAATGAACTTTCAATTGTCTTTTTTGTCTTCAATTGTCCACATCGACCAATCTACACGTGACCCTGCACTGTGAAGGTGCAAAACAGCTGGATATAGAAATACCAGCCCCTCCGAGTTCGATCCCAGGCGAGGAAAGGGAGACTTATGTTAGCATCAAAGGTAACGACGTCCTGAGCAATTCAGAAGCAGAGGTGTTGGGACATGTCAGTCTCTGCTAGGCCGTAACAGCATAAAGAGGAGATGAAGTAAATTATGTCAATTACGACATTTATACGACAGTTATTCATATTACCTCGCTGTATTTTTAATTACACCTATCCATCTACAGTAACCATTGGTAACAATTTACTTAGACCCGTCATCTATAATGCACTACGCATACCTTCATAATCCATTACAATGGTAAGTATAAGAATTAATAAAGCATTACAGAATCTTCTGTTGACAATCATAAGGTATTATAAGGTTAATAATAATATTTCATGAGCTCCGGTGAAGCTCCCATCTATAATGCACTATACAGTAGATACCTTCATAATGCATTTTAATGCTCCGTATGAGATTAAAGGATGCTTTGTACTGCAATATGAAGGTAGCTGGACAAAGTCAGGCTGCTAGCAGGCTCTGGGGGTGCGGGTACCCCTGGGTGCCAGACTTTGCCTCTGTATGGCTTGGTGGAGATCTGCTCTGGGCTGCCAGACTGCGTCTCTGGCTGGCTCTCCTGCTGCCTGGATCGGGTGGCCTCACGCAGCCGCTGCAGGTTGGCCAGCTGCTCCAGCAGTCTCTGGGGGGTGCACCGCCCCTTCTCCATGTCCTCCCGCAGCCGCCCCTCGCCCTTGTCCAGCTGGCAGTGCTCCTGGGCCAGCCGGGCCTCCCTGCTGCAGTGCAGAGCAGCCACAGCCTGCAGCCTCTGACAGTCGCAGTTGCAGCTGGGGTCACGCTGCGGCTCCTCGCAGCTGGCAAGCGGGGAGCAGTCGATGGCGGGTGAAGGGTCCGAGTCGGCAGTAGTGCCCGCATTCTTTGGTGGCTGACATCAGCTTGGACGGGCGACTGGTGGGCTGGGCGGTTTGAGGATGCACTGCACAGGTCCACTGCGCTTCAGAAGGACAGAGTGCCATCAGCTGGTCTGTTGGCTGCACTGGCGTGGGTTTGTAGGCAAAGGTGTCTCCAGTAGACTTTCTTCTTGCAGCACCAGCAGACCAGCTTCTGATCCCTAGCTTGAGGTCCTGCTGTCACTGCTTCCCCCGAGCCGCCACTGCACGGCCGCCCGCAGGTCTGCCAGGCTGGAGCAGCCTTGTCCAATGATGATACAGAGCGCCTGCTCCTGCAGAGCCAGTGGGAAAGCTTCCGGCATTCTGACACCATTGTAACATCTGGCTGATCGAGGCATCATGGCAGCGAGAAACGATGCGACTCGCTTTAAGGGGAAACAAAGCCCTTTTATTAAGCCCTTAAAAGGACAAACAAAGGCATTAAACAACCACTAAACAACACATAACGGAGCCTCAGGGAGGTCCTGCGCCGGACAGAAAGGCACATGCACACAATGGCTAAATGCACACGAGGATCTGACCAGGTTCACATATGATACGGCAACGGCACACACAACGATTGTTGGAAAAAGAGTAAATTCTATCAGAACTTCAAGGACTTTCCTTAGGATATAATTATTTTGTAGATAAATGTGCATTTTTTAAAGAACAGATGTGAATAAGGAATGTTATTAAGCCGCAATAAAATGTATCCCCCATTAGAAAACCACCATTCCAAACCAACCCCCCCCCACCCCCACGCAAATTGTACCGCTTTTATAGGGGCAGCATCCTTGAAGCATTTTGCAGCATAAATCAATGTAGAACAAACATATATCTCTCTAGTTCAGGGTTATTCAACTCACGGTCCTCGAGGTCCGAGCACTGCTGGTTTTCCAGCCTTCCTTTACCTGTCAGTCAGGTGTGAAGCCTCTGACCAATCAGAATCAGTAATTATTAAACTAACTACCTGGGAGAACTGAAAACAAGGCCTGGATTTGGAATCGAGGTCCAGATTTGCTCCTACAACCATAGAGCCAGGTGTATAAACTGAACCCCCAGTCCAGCAGTGTTAATCACTGACCCACACTGCCATCTGTGTTTAACTGCACTTAAAAAGTGATTTGTCTCGCACTACCTGTTTTTTTGGACTGTCATGTAATGCTCAGCACCCCGTCGCAGGCGGGACCATGGGCGAGTCTGCGGGGAACTGCCTGAATCTGGAAGGAGTGAACAGGCTCATCCAGCTGCCCACCGGCTGCGCGGAGCAAACCATGGTGAAAATGTCACCGGCCATCCATGCCATAAAGTACCTCGACGCCACCAACCTATGGGTGAACCTGGGGGCAGAACGGCGGGATGAGGCCCGTGGGATGATCCAGAGCGGTGAGCCCGTCTCTCATTTCCTGGAGCCCCCAGGCTGTCACAGCCACCTTTCATTCACTCATAAGCCATTGGGGGCCAGGGAACTTTAATCATCAATCCTGACTTATGCTTTCATGTTTCGCAGGTTACCAGAGGATCCTGTCGTTTAAGAAGGACGATGGTTCTTACGGGGCTTTTCAAAGAACTCCCAGCAGCGTCTGGTAGCTCCCATCTCTGCTGTCTACTACTGCTTTGTTTAATAGAAAATTATTAAAAATTGCTATAATATTGAAGGTTTTTCTTCCCTCCTGGGTCCATCTTCAGTTATTAGATGTAGGCCAGAGTATTATCTGGAGAGGCCAAGGAGAGGTATTTGGATGTAAGATTTTGTATTAAGTCCATCTTAAGAAAGGTTTGCTTCTTTCCTATTTGCAATAATTAAAAAGCTGTGATTGGTTGGCTTGTGCCCTGCTTTGGGGTGAGCTAACTAGTGATTGGGCGGGCTTGGGTCCTATCCATGACCTCCGTCTCCCTTTGACTGCTTTGCAGGCTGACTGCATTCATAGCCAAAGAGCTGATTCGATGCAGGTCCCTTATAAATGTGGAGCACAGCTACGTCCTGGAGTCCATCTCTTACCTGGTGTCAAAGCAGCTGGAGAATGGGGCGTTCAAGGACCCCAACCCAGTCTATGATCGGAACATGCAGGTAAACACCATTGTTCTGCTTTACTAAAGTCATTTGCTGTCACATTCGCCACCAGGAAAAGCTACATTATTCATTTCTTTTCAAATTTCTTTTTTGTTTTTGTCTAATGTTAAATCCTTTTTGGTACTTAAAGCAGTCATCATAATGCATAGTAAATATACTCCATAATGCATGATAATGCATTCATAAAGTATTATAAACACAGCTTTAATTATAAAAAGGCATAACACATTTATGTCATGTTTATTATGCATCATTAATGCTCTATGAAGCTCTATGAAGTATAAGCCATTATAATGCATTATGAAGGTATCTATTATGCATTATACATGAGTGCTTTAAGAAAAGCGTTACCTCCTTTTTTACAGGATCAGAAGCATTATTTAACCAGAGAGGATAGCTAAGCGGTTTAATAACAGTTAGTTGTCCTTTCGTGTAACCTTCCCTTTCAGGGTGGAGTCGGTGGGTTCGAGGGAGATGTGTCCTTGACATCATTCGTGTTGGTGACTTTGCATAACTCTCTACCGATTTACACCACGGTGCAAGGCGCGGAGAGTACAGTTACGGTAAGCATCCTCCTTTTGCGTTTGCTTTATGAGTGTATTCAGCTGCTGCGCTGTCTGTGGTGATTTTGCCTTTCCGGTCGTTGGTTCTCCACCTTGCAGAGGATGGCGATGATAAAGGCGGAGAGGTACCTGTCGGAGAAGCTGGACTCGCTGCAGAGGCCCTTTGCCGTGGCCATCACAGCCTACGCCCTCATGCTCTCCAACCCCCAGAGTGCGGCGGCGGAGCGAGCACAGAGCAAGCTACGCTCCATGGCTGCATGCGCTGATAGTTAGTGCAACACCCTTTAATCCTGCATTTGGGGGGGGGTGTTTGGGGGAGTCAAGCAAGCCATTTAGAAAGGGGACAAAAGGTATCATAAAAGGAACATGGATGAGAGGACCAAGGAGGCAATATGATTTAGGGAAGAGAGGTATTATGCATTATGTAAGAATAGCGCATCATGTTATAACTTGAAAAATGCAACAAATTTTCACTTAATTATGCAATAGCACCCGCAATTTGTAATAATCTGTAATGTTGCAGAAGTCTAGATGTGGATGTAAAACAATCCTGCTGCATTCCCATAAAGATCTAAAGAAGGTGGAACCCGTTGTGGGCCATACAAGTAGCTCTACTGCTTCAAAGATGTCTGTATTATTCATTCAAATGAAGGATTTCCTCACACAAAACACGCACATAAAGGAATACATGTATGCCTGTCGTGTCTTTAGAACTGCCATTAAGGCGCTGGGTGGGTTGAGTAGGAAGATAAAACGGGCAGGATGTTTGCATGCGGAGACCTCGTGTGAAATGTCTGCCTCTCCATTTCTGCATCCGGAAAAGACATGTGCCACTGGAACGCCAGCGAGGAGCTCCGGCTGAGCGGGGAGAGGAGGGCCGGCGGCGTCCCCCAGGCTGATTCCATCTCCATAGAAACCACGGCATACGCCCTCTTACAGACACTGCTTGGGGACGACGCACAGTACGCTACGCGCATCGCCCGGTGGCTCACTAAGCAGCGCCAGTACGGGGGAGGGTTCCGCTCCACACAGGTACGGCCCACACTGTCGGCGTCGGCAGCCTGTGCTGTTCTCAGACACACTGCGTCTGAAACTCCCACAAATTCAGTTTAGTGGTCACCTGTGGCTTTGTGGATGGCACTGTGGCCCCGTCCTTCTGAGGCTGGGGGTTTGATGTGTGTGGAGCCTATCTGTCGTGTCTCTGTTATGTTGTGTTGAGTGTGGGTCCTGTGATGGGCCGCCATCCCATTCCAGGGTCCCCCCTGCCTCATGTCCTGTGCTTCCTGGGACAGGCACCAGGCTCACAGTGACCCTGTACTACATCGTCGGTTATCAATGGGAAAGATTTCAGGTCCAGTGAGTACAAATCCAGACCAAGATTTTGTTTCAACCAAGCAGTTCAGTATAAAGAGTCACAGTCACAGAGTACTCAACTGGTTAGTTGAAACAAAATCTTGGTCTGGATTTTTACTCACTGGACCAGAAATCTCCACCTGGTTATTACTCCCAAAATATCAGTCGAGATGAACCAGCTGCTCTTCCTCCCTGGTTGCCAGGACACTGTTGTGGCTCTGGAAGCCCTCTCCGTTTACAGCACAGAGAGCAATGACGTACAGCAGCTGGACATGAACGTGGAGTTCTGCTTTCCATCAGGGAAGAAGAAGGTTGTGCATCTTGCTAGCTCAAATGCCTTAACCGCACCTGCCTTCCAGGTGAGTCTGTCCCGTAAGTGGCACCATGCTTGTAGGTGCTAAACCCTCGCTAGTCATGACAGGATCACAGCCATGACGTCATACCGAGACCAACGGCAGGCTTAGTTTGGATCTAGTTTCAGCTGTCTTCATTCAGCATAGAAGTACAAGCCACATCCCCGGCTGAAGAGCGTCCATCTTAACACAAGTCGTATTTACGAATGGACTACCATAAAGCCTATTGTGTTAAAAATTTGAGTTATTTGAGAAATTTGAGTTGCGCTTCTTTGTGACACACATGAAAACATGCATGGCTTCAGCGGTTTGCCGGGTTGATGTACAGTACAGTACCGTATGTATGCCATATCCTGTATAAGTAAATTATTCTTCCAAATTAGAATTAGATAACAGATCTCATTCGTAACCCGGAGACTGCCTGTATTTTGCTTTTGATTAAAAACTAAAAAATGCATTTAGGCAGTATTATTATTTAGCAATCATCATCGCAATATTTCTTGGACACTTTATGGTTTGTGCAGGTTGAACCTGGAAATGCGATCCAAGTCAATCTGAGAGGAAAAGGAAGGGGTACTTTGTCAGTAAGAAAATGTTTTTTTTCTTAAGAATTTTAATTAGTGTATAGTCACATTATACACTTTCTAAGAATACAGCCTCATATAACTGCATGACCACTATCTGCCAAATCATCTGCAATAACTGCATAATCGTTATCTGCTTACTAATTTTATCTGACAAGTTTCTTCTCAATGCTTTTTATAATAGGTTGTGCAAACTTTCAGAACAATGGAGGGAATCAGCTCCTATTGTGATTTTTATCATCTGAATGTCACCCTGGAAAGAGATTTACAGTATCAAAGTAAGATATTTCAGTATGCACCTTCCAAAAGCCCTACTGGAAGTTATGAATAAGTATTCCTCCTAATCAAAGTCATAACTAGGTACAGGAAAGTCTTCTTCAAGTACAGTGCTCACAGAAACTCTTGGGATCCTCACTTAACTGTAAAAATGTTGCAAATTTCTTGATGAAAAGTCCAATGACAAGCAGTGTTTAACATATCAGCACATATCTTTCACACAGACATTTCCTTTTTATGAAGTGTCATAACTTTTTTGACTGACTCATTCAATTCTGTTCTTATCATTTTGCTATGAATTATAATTGTAGTCATTGGCTCCCAAAGGGATACTAAACACAAATTTTTGGTGGTTTACATTATTGCAAAGATCTTACTTATTAAAAAGCACCCAATGAGACTGCTAGTCAATGAACATGTTAACTCAGAACAGCTCCTTTTGGACTATGATTTAAGTTTCAATTTATTACTACTTGAAATGAATGTTTCACTTAAAACTACTGGTTGATTCTAATGTGATGTATATTTCTTGTAAACAGATAATTGAAGTAATGATTTTGTCACAAAACCAAAACCAATAAATCTGCTATTTATTTACTGAATTAAGCAAAAGTTCTAAGACGTTCTGTGAGTATCCTGTATGTATGGCTCTGCCCTCAAAGGCTGCTTATGCACAATCAATAGTTTTTGCACACCACAATTTTTTTTTACCAGTTTTCTATTTATTTCATAAACTGCAGATTGTTTTATTCTTGTTAAGCATTGGAAAACTGAGTGAACAACTATGACATTTAAGTCAAATAAAACAAGCTTCCTTTATAACATGGAAAGAGTATGTAACAGTGCATGTCTGACATCATGTTACCTAGTTGTGTGGTGATGTGGTGATGGTCAAATTGTAGGCTGTCCTTTAAGTTTAAATGCATTAGTTAACTATTTCAACCCATGAAACAGAGCAGTATTTAATGTCTGTTGTAGAAAGAATGCCTTGAATTTTCTCCACTGTTATAACTACTGGAGGAGGTTACTTTGGTGATCAAAGATATGACATTTTCTTGCTAATAAAGGGACTCAAATGGTGAACATACTGTAAATATATTTGCTATCAAAGAGTACTGAGTGTATGTAACATGCAGATATAGAATATTAGAGTGTTTGCAAAAACTTCTGACTGGTAGAGTAAGTGCAGGGGTTGGATATAACAAAGGTGGCTGATGTTGCAGACAACGAGGAATACGACAGTCTGGACGATTACTATAACTACGAGGATGTGGATTCCATTGGGGAGCACGAGAAGGTGCAGGACGAGGGCGACCAAGCCCTGAGCAGGATCGAATGGTTCGACCTCCGATCTCGGAGAAAGCGGCACGCCCCCCAGGCCGAGACAAAGGAGAACACTGTCCTGTACACAGTGTGCGCGAGGTGAGTCGTGCAGAGTCCTGGCTTTTCGTGCTGCCATACTGGCTTTATCTTCACCCAGGCACTGCAGCTTACACTGCGCACTGCATCTGCTCTATAGCAGGAAAACAGGAAACTCCACAGGAATGGCCGTGGTAGATATATCCCTGCTCAGTGGATTGCAACCGAATTTAAAACAACTTGGTGAAGTAAGAACGCAATTAAATTTTATTTCATCCACGATTAAATATAACTCAGCGCATTTGGTCATTCTACCTTCAGGTGCACTAACTGTATGTATGGTTCTGCATGTTCCAGCTCATAAGTGGAACAGAGAAATATATCGACCATTACGATTTGGGGCCAAATAAGGTGTATCTCTACTTCAACAAGGTATGAACTCTCCTTCTGCTCCACCTTCACTCTTTGTTTGTCGTCGTATCTGTAGGATTTTTTTTTTTTTGTCAAACTGAAAATCCCTGAAGGACTGTATGTTTTAACGACGATCACAAACTTGCAAAAGACATTATAGATACGTGCAGCCTTGCTCTACGTTGATGGGAAACTGGACGAACAATCATGTATCAGTAATACCCTAACAAAGTATCAAGCTCTACAATCCACTAAAAACTATCCAGTTAAAGTGATGCATTTGACATGTGACAGTGAAACATTATTATTATTAATAATAATAATTGTATTAGTACTGTTATTAATTGCAAATATATATATATATATATGTATATATATGTAAAATATAAAAAGCAATTTATGAGATAAGCCAATCAATATACATTTATTTGGGGGAGGGGGGCTAAAAAGCATTTAATGTTGGATAAAGCCCCCTTGACATACTGTAGGCCTGACGATGTCCTTGCTTGGGATTACATTTCTTGGTAATATATGTGCAATCCCACCATCGTTATGATTGATATTTCCATGAAATGTATAATGAGATATCTGCCGCTACATTTTTAGCTCACAGAGAATGAAGACTGTGTGGGTTTTGAAGCCAAACAGGTGACGCCCATTGGTTTGGTGCAGCCAGCCAGGGCTGTCATCTATGACTACTACAACCCAGGTGAGCAGAATGTGCCCGGTCACAGTGACACTCACTAACACCGGTTGCCACTAGGGGGTTCCACTAGGGGGCAGCGTGGGCAGTGATGATTCAGCTGTGTGACCAAAGGGTCGCTGGGCCAGGTCTGAGTAATGACCTCACTGGCGTGTCCCTGAGCAAACTAACACTGCCTCATTGAAATATCCACATGAATAAAAGGCTGAGATGGTAACATATTTGACTGTGTTTGTACTGTATAACAGCTGCTGTTAAGAACAGAAAAGCATAATCATGATTGACTTTGATTGCTTCATCTAGACAGGAGATGCAGCATCTTCTACAGCCCCCCCACAAAGAGCACCATGATCTCCAGACTATGTAAAGATGACGTGTGTGCCTGTGCAGAGGGTATGTTCCGATACTCTCCACTAGGGGGCTGCAAATCATCTTATCTACTCAGCTCCCAGTGAATAGGCCCAGATTTTTTCTCTCATGGACATTTCTGAATACATTATACAAGATCAAAGCACTTAAGATTTTTCTTAAATATTCTTCATATTTTAGAAAGAACACATAAAAGGCTTTTTTCTCTCTTTCAGGTTCCTGCCCGAAAATGAAGGTTACTTACAGTAAGAATATGGAGAGGAGCACTCGAATCAGCTACGCCTGTTTCGCTCCCATCGTGGACTACGGTGAGTCGAGCTCCTCAGCTTGCCCCTATCTATGTTAGCATTTTAATTCTGTGGATCTGTGAAGAGCAGAGCTGGTGCTGTTATTGTAAAATAGTAAAGTACAGAAAGAAAGATATTCTATATGAATCTTTTCATGACACGTGCCAATAGTTGCAGCACAAATAATCATATTGTCTTCCCTCTCCCACATGAGAAGACCTTACTCTTACTGTTTTTTAATTGACTTCTTTCTTCTTCACAGTCTATGTTGTCAATGTCAACAAATCAAAAGATGACGGGGTCTTTCAGTATCACACCGTGATAATTGACAGTGTCCTTCAGTCCGGTGGGTAGCCTGCTACACTCTTCCTCTACTTCACTTTTACTCTACTTTCTACTTTTTATCTCATGATAGCCGTCAAATTTCTGCTTCACATCCGCCACCTCCTGGCCCAATTTGTGAAAAGCTAATCTGTCACAATTAAGACATCTTACCCTTTTCATATTGGCTTCCATAAAAATGAATGAGAGACAAAATATTATCAAATTATAAAATTAACCCATGGCCTAAGTCATCTAATGAACAGCATTTATTGTCTGGGTAATATGATAATTAAGGTGACCAGATAATCCACATCAGAGAAGACATTTTGAAATAATTCAGGTCTTACAAAATACTTTAAAACTGAAAGGCTTCTGTGCTTGGCTAAATAGTTCAGTTATTTTTGTTCATTGACTGGTTCGTTTCTTGATTGAAGTACTCCAGCTGTTTCACATTAACATTAGTGACACATGCATGATTATAGGAGACTGACCAATCAGCACACAGCAAGAACTCAGTGCAAAAGTGAAATCCAGGTCTTTTTAATGATAGCTTATAAATCCTGCCTTAGTGTTACCCAATGGCTAATTCCTCTCTTTTTTCGATTTAAGGTAAGGATGACTTAATCCTAAATGGAAATATGCGTGAGATGATTCACAGAAAGAGTTGTGACAATTTTAAAATGAAGGATAACGCCAAGTACTTGGTCATGGGTAAAGATGGAACCATCTCTGATGTGCAAGATGCCAGTGGAAAGTGAGTTCAGAAGACTGGGCTACAGTCACATAAGTTTACAATTCTTTGTGATTGTACATGCTTTGATATCTATCTGAGATGATGACATGATGTAAGAAGCAGGAGGTGTGAGTAAAGCAAGAATGTTTTTCTGTGTTTCAGCTATCATTACGTCCTTAGCCATGACATGTGGATCGAGGAGATCCCAGAGGAGTCGCGATGCAAGGCCACAAAGAACCGTAAAGCCTGCCAGCTCCTTCAAGACTTCCTGCTGCAGTACGAGTTGAACCAGTGTAGGGACTAAACTCGAGACACATGAGGGCCTAACAAGCCTGCTAACTCCGCTAACAGGTCCCCAAATGACACTGACGCTGCAACTCAAATGCTAACTCATTCCTTCAGCTCGCTAAAGGCTACCTTTGTGATACAGCAATACCAATATAGGCGGGAGTCAATAAACATGCTGCTTCATTAAGCATTGTGTGCTTTTATTAATGGTCCGAATGCTATAGAGGCTCAGGAGCGGCATGTCGACAGAATAACGTGAACAAACATTTGCGTTTTGTCATATCACAGGAGTGGAGCACTGAAACATTACAAATATAATAAGGACAGTGCTTCGATGAAATGGCAGCACTTCATGTAGGGTGTGTGTGTGTGTATGTATATATATATACAATCAAACCTCGGATTGCGAGTAACTTGGTTTGTAAGTGTTTTGCAAGATGAGCAAAAATTTTTAATACATTTTAACTTGATAAACGAGCAGGTCTTGCAATACGAGTATTGCGTATACGCTTTGTCTGCCGGGCGTCACGTGATCACAACTGAGCCGATGGTTCTTCTCTCGCTCTTGCTGTGGGATTGTGGGTAATCATTTCCCATGCTTGGTCTCAGTCGGCGTGCCTCACTCGTATAGTCAAAATTTAGTAGAAAAGCACCACCCGAATAAGGCCGTAGCAGTGCAAGCGATGAATGTTTAACGACAATGCAATGTCCACATTTCCACAAAATCGAAAAGGAGGCAAAAGTGCCTGTCATTGGATAGGTTCCTTGTTAAAGTCGCACAAAAAGAAAAAGATTCCAGTGAACCAACAGATATCAGTTATTCATTATAGTGAAAGTCGTCCTACAAAATAACCCTCCTCTTCTCCTCGCTCTTGTCTCCCTCACACCATCCACGATTCTTTTCATAGGTAAAGTGCAGGTTAATTTGTTTTATGTATTTTTACAGTATATTTTGTATTAATCATTTCTTATGAATATTTTTGGGTTGCGCAACGAATCATCTGAGTTTCCATTATTTCTAATTGGAAAATTCGCTTTGATATACGAGTGCTTTGGATTACGAGCATGTTTCCGGAACGAATTATGCTCACAATCCGAGGTTTTACTGTATAACACATGTACATACAGGCACACACACACACAAAGACAACTGAAAACAATGAAATCTTTTTAAAAACCCTACTTTACTGCTTCCCAGCGCTCTGTGATGAGTTGGTACTGTAATTGTGTAGCGGTTGCCGGAGGGTCTACTGTGGAGAAACCAACAGAACAGAGCTAGAAACATGGAGAAACCATTAAATTCTTGACATAATGACCCTCAAGGTGGTAGTGGACCCTCCAGCAACTCCTTGCCATCAAATTTGATTTCCAGCCAGATTTTTGCCTGAAATCACTGTTATAAAACTGGTTATAATGTACAACACTAGCAGAGCTGCTTGTGGGAAATATGTGAGAGAGTGCAGTTTTACATCACAAACATGCCCGGACGTGCCCTCATCCAGGATCCAGAAAGGGTGGTGGAAGGCCTTCAACCAACACTAATCATTTTTGAGAATTTAAAACATTATAAAGTGCGCAATGTCCCTGTAATTCGATTACAACCTTAGTAGTTACTGCCCCAAATTATAGTCTTATAGTTTTTAAATGTAGGTCACATTGTTTATTTACAAAATAAAGGTAATGAGTAATTCATAGATATGACCTTTTATACTGGGACAACGTCTTGAGAAAGTGATAATTCACACACTGTATGTACAGAACAAATACAAATTAACATGATACAAAAATGCCAAAATGCAAACATGAAGATGTGTAAGGGGAGAGATCTCTGCCGGAGGGGCTGTTTGTTCGTATGCTAGATTCCGATTCTAGTGGAAACGTCAGACGCCGCTGGAGGTGCGAGTCTTTGTTTCGGCTGAAATCTCGATTGTATGTTGGAGGCGACTAGGGGTCAGCTAGAGAAGCTGGTTCTTGCTGAGCGAATGTGGCCCTTCCATGCGGTTCCTACTGTGCAGCTATCTAACAGAGTTCTTGTGCTTCTCACCTAAAACTAAAGTCACACACTGTAGCCATTTTTTCAGTCATCTAGAAAACAGACTAAAACAATTATGAAAACCAGGTGCTAATCGTTATTGTGATATCGAACATTTTTGCACCCCAGTGTAATAATGTACAGTAAGAAAAGTGAGATGCATTTGTGAGCTTTTATGACATTGTATCACTATTGTCTGACCTGGGTGTAACCTATTATTTTTTTTTTGTTATGAAATATCCTCAGCAGAATGTCAGAGGTCTATGTGACTCAGCATCTCTGAAGGGTCACCACTAGCAATAGCAGAACGATGCTATCATCAAAACAACCTCTCACCATTCATTTGAAGGATGGTGCACTCAAAGCTGTTAAAAATGCTTACATTCTACCAAATATTCTAGTTACCAGTGCACATGGAGTAAAAAAACAAGACAATGGAAAGAAAATATTGGCAAATTAATTGTGTTTTTCATGAATCACCCAGTATTAATTATATGCAGATATGACTGGTAATCTTTATGTACATATTGCAGTATGTTACAATCCCCCCTCAGTGGACCTCGAATTATGTTGTACAACAATCCATTTTGTCATTTTGGCAAACAAATTCGGGTAAAGTCCATTTCTTCCAGTTTATTCCAGGTATATCTTATAGCAACTGACAGCCAGCAGTATTACGTAAAGGCTTGTACTAAAAGTTTGGCAGGAATACGACGCAACACAACATACGTCACATAAAAAAATTAATTTAGAAAGATAAAGATGTAGAAATTAAATAAATTAAGAAGAATTACCTTCATATTTAACACATATGCACATGAACACACACACAAACAGCAATAAATAATGTGCATTTTTCAGAATGCCATTTTACCCCTGTGGGGTAATCCAGACCTGCTTGAAACGCAGAAATGTTTGTAAGATAACAGCCTGTGAGGAAAAAAATGTATGCAGAGCTTCCGAAAACAAATCCATTTACAGGATATACACAAAATATGTATATAAATATGATATAAAACTAATTACTTACACTAAACTTACATAAAACTAAAATGCACAAATGGTGTTGCTGTCATATGCAAGATGGCTTATTGTGGTAGATACATTTTTGATGTGATTAATATTAAAGGACAGAGAAGCAAAGTGCCATCTCGCCATCATTCTCACATCCCAGAATATGACGCGAGGGGTGAGTTTGCCTCTTTGACCTCCAGAACTTGGACAAACAATCAAATAAATATAGATATATTCCTGCTGGATGAAAATACATTTGGAAAAACACTGAAAAAACAGAACTCGATACTGCTTCTTGGTTTACACCTGGATGGGACAGGTGGCCAGAAACTTCTAGAAACACTTTGATGTCAGTTTCCTGGTTCTGCGTGGTATAGAGCCAAGCCAACCATCGCCCAGCCGGTTTACAGCCCCACGTGTTCCCCGGGGTGGGAGTCATTCGACTCCTCTTCCCCTTCTGGCAGGAACTGGAGCTTGGTCTCTGATGTGTAACACGGGGAAGGAAAAATAGGAAGGGATGCTGCTGTTCTACTGCAAGAATGAGCGGGGCACTTCTATTGCAGGAAGGGGCGGGGCTCCCATACTGCAGGAAGGGGTGGGGCTCCTCTGCTGCAGGAAGGGGTAGGGCTCCTCTACTGCAGAAAGGGGTGGAGCCCCTCTACTGCAGGAAGGGGTGGAGCTCCTCTACTGCAGGAAGGGGCGGGGCTCCTCTACTGCAGGAAGGGGTGGAGCTCCTCTACTGCAGGAAGGGGCGGGGCTCCTCTACTGCAGATAGCGGTAGACCTTGAAACAGTGGTTCCCCGAGTCCGCGACCACCACGTGCCCATCTGACGTGAGGGCCAGGCCCTGGGGCCCGTACAGGGGGTCCGCGCTCGTGTTGATGTAGGACAGGAAGGAACCTGAGCTGTCGAACACCTGAACACAGACAGTACCCTCACATTTACTGTTATCATTTGGTTTTGAAATTACTTCTCATAGAATTAGTTGCACCAGCTGCATGTTACCAGACTGTTGCAATATGATTAAACTCTTTGTTTCCCAACCTCAGAAAAATATAAAACACTGACACTTGGATGTAAAACATACAGTACTTATAAAAAAAAATCTACACAGATGGTCCTGTAACGATCAGTTTTAGTTAAGATAAAAACAATATGGTACTCACTAATATCACCATAATCATTAATCAGTCTATTATCACAGATATCTAACATTTTTATGTATCCATCCCATTAAAAAATTCTTCCTTGAAAAGTACACAGGGTATGACGAACAGAAATACACAAAAACCACCACATATACGTACAAATATCCTTTCATTTTCTGTAATCACTGGTCCTATTCAGGCTCACAGGAGCTTATGGGTGCAAGCCAGAGAACAACCTAGGATGGGGTAATAAACCTCCCCATGACTGTAGGGGGGAACCAGAGCACATACAGGAAACCCCATGATAACACAGCGCGAACATGCGAGAACATGCAAATTCCACACACATGGAGCTTTAGCAGGGACTTGAACCCTTGTCCCAGATATAAATGCTCTGTGTACAATATCTCACACAGAGCAAAGCTAACAAATAGTTAACTGCCATATTTTATTATATTTTATGTATTTGGGTAATAAAAGCAACTGGGGAATGTGAAATTAAAAAATAATAAATAATGCAGAATGTAAATTAAATATAGCTGGTTTGAAAGGGAACATTTAGCTCTGTAAATGTAAGTCAAATAACTAAGAGAAACATCACAGCTCACTGCTAAATACCAGCATTTCCACTAAAACCAAGGACACTCTGTCTTTGCAAAAATTCTGGAAGTTTAGACTCATTTCTTCATTACCAGGACAGCGCCCATCATCTCGTTGCTTTGGAGCAAATACAGACATGCCCCTGTTTCTTATCTTCCTACGGCAGCAGATATTTTCTGCATGGTATATTCTGTAGTATCCTCCATAGATCAATGTTTAGCTGCTTACTGTGACATACACATCAACTGCAGAGGATTATGCATTTGCTTATGGAGCTTCTGGGATCCCTTTTATGCGTTAAGCATGCAACTATACCAAGGTGAAAAGATAAATAATGATACTCAGTTCGGCATTTGGAAAAGCACATAGGAGTTACTAGGGTTTCCTGTACTGCTCCCCACACTAGGGGAGTTTGGGGTCAAAGCACTGGGTCATCCATTGTTCCAGCACCCTGGAGCAGTTTTTGTGGAAAAGGGCAATTGCCCTGCAAGACATAGGATTTGAACCAGCAACATTCTGGACACAGAAACATACTAATAACCCACCGAGCTGCCGTCATGACTTCAATAAGGAAAAAAGCGACTATTTCCCTCAGCGTGACAGTAAGCCGTCAGAAGAGAAAGAAACTTCACAGAACAGGCAGTGAAATCACCATGAAACATGCAGCTATCATCAGACAGTCTGTCACAGCTCACCTGTATTCTGCTGTTGCCCCAGTCTGCGACAATGATGTTCCCATTGCCATCGACTGCTACACCTGTGGGGGCATTGAATTGCCCATTCCCCTCGCCATGGGAGCCAAACTTAAAAAGGAACTCCCCGTCAGCACTGAACACCTGCCAAATCAAGACTGCTGAGTCAGGCACATTACATTTCATTAAGAAATCATAATCACACTGCTTCATATTTATGTGATCTATATAAAGGTGCAAGAACAGCAGGTAGGATAATAACTTTAACCTTTAAGACAATGATGTAAGGTAATACAAATGAATCGTCATCTTTACCTTGACAGAGTGATTGTGAAAGTCCGTCACCACGATTTCGCTCTTGTTGTTCACTGCTACGAAATGTGGACCTGGGGGCAAAGTGAGGAAGGGAATGGAGGGAGAGATTTATAGGTGTGACACAACTGGATCAGAGCCAGTGTCTGACTGGCTTTCTTTACCTGTCTACCACTGAAAACCTACGGATTATCCATATTTAATACACATCCTGCCCATCTACATATGTGGCAAGCACATGTGAGGTCAGGGCAGAGAGCACCCTGGAGTAGTTGGGGGTAAGGGATATGATTGATCCACCAACATTAAGATTTGAACCCACAACCTTTTGGATGTGGGCACACACCTCTAGCCCACAGAGCCATACACCACACCCACATGTTAACTGATTTGCTCTTCTGAGGCATATTCATATGTGAAGTGTCTGACTTTGTGCCCATTACCAGAAGGCCACTGGGTCAAATCCCATGTCTGGCAAAGTGATTTCACCGTTGGGTCCTTAACCCTGAAACTGCTTCGGTGATGCTGCATAAATGGTTGATTCTGTGCTCAGAACCTAAGCCTTCTATATGAGTGTCTAATATGAGAATAAGATGGATATACAAAAATGAAAGGATTCGTTTTTACTTGAACAAAAGGCAAAATAAACTATCATCATCATTTGCATCACTTAATAAAGTACTAGTGGTCCTTATTTAATTTTTCCATAAAGAAACTGCACTGCAGGGGGCGCTGTGTGGGAAGGCAACTATCATTCACAGTACTTACTAAAGGCAGGGCCCTTCCCAGGCTTGTGCTCCGTCGGAGTGTTCACAACACCTTTTTCTAAAAGAAAGAAAAAATGTTTAATGTGCTTAATAGAAAAAATGATTTTATACACAAAGACTTTATACACAGTGACATAATCCTCACTTTCTCAGAATTAATTGCTGAGATTGCAGTTCTAAGTTCTGTTCTGTTAATTGCATAAGACAATCCACCTGTACAAGGCCATGGTGATCCAGATTAACCCAGAGCAATGTTTCCCAACCCGGTTCTCTTGGACCTACAGTCCACGTTTTTGCTCAACTGGGAGCTGGGAAGAAGCAAAAACATGGACTGCCTGCAGGTCCCCAAGGAACAGACTGGGAATCACTGACCTAGAGGAACAATGAGGCCATATCTGGTATCTGCATGTGTGACAGGCTACCGGCCAGCGAGAGCCTGTGCTGAAGGTAACCTGCATTAAGGAATCTGTAGCATGTTTAAAGGCAGAAGCCGCAATCTGCCTGCCCAGCTAAAAGGGCCCACTGACCATAATCCACAGAGAACACCACAGCGCAGACCACAGAAGCGAAGCATGAGCAAATGTGACCAGCACTTAAAACAGGGAGGGGCTGCTGCTTCTCAAATGCCAGCGGCCTTTCCCACTAACTGACGTAACAATAGTCATTGCACCATTTTTCTTTAAGCACAGTGACAGCAAGCTGGCAAACCAAAAGGCTGAGTCCCAGTCAGAAGCAGCTACTGCACTCATTGGTCTGTTTGTGAGGAGGAAGGGGGGAATATTATGAAGTCAGCCGGGGGGGGGGGGGGGGGGGGGGGGGGG